GCAGGACATTGTGCAATCACAGAGAAGATAGCATGTCCAAGGTGTCAGATAGCTTGAGTGCAGGACATTGTGCATTCACAGAGAAGATAGCATGTCCAAGGTGTCAGATAGCTTGAGTGCAGGACATTGTGCAATCACAGGGAAGATAGCATGTCCAAGGTGTCAGATAGCTTGAGTGCAGGACATTGTGCAATCACAGGGAAGAGAGCATGTCCAGGTTGTCAGATAGCTTGAGTGCAGGACATTGTGCAATCACAGAGAAGATAGCATGTCCAAGGTGTCAGATAGCTTGAGTGCAGGACATTGTGCAATCACAGAGAAGATAGCATGTCCAAGGTGTCAGATAGCTTGAGTGCAGGACATTGTGCAATCACAGGGAAGAGAGCATGTCCAAGGTGTCAGATAGCTTGAGTGCAGGACATTGTGCATTCACAGAGAAGATAGCATGTCCAAGGTGTCAGATAGCTTGAGTGCAGGACATTGTGCATTCACAGAGAAGATAGCATGTCCAGAGCTCCAGATAAGATTTAGCTTATGTGGGTACTGTACCCACTGTATTTTTTGGGAGTGGGTATTATGAATGTTGAGTGGGTATTTCATTTTCCGTTACCCACTGCTTTCAAATATGTGCGTATTTCAGTCATATTACTCACCTAAGTATTATGTCATTGAGTAAGTTTACTAAGCAGGTATGTTTTGCCTTATGTCATACTTAATCAAAACCAAGTTAAATATAAAGGAAATGATTTCATAAAAAATCACTCATCCTATACTGAAAGTACAACACTTGTCCTATAAAAACAGTACAACTTGATAGCAATCGATGTCTTTTTCATTTTTATAAATATATTCCGTACGCATTTGTTTTAAACCTTTTGCGTATCTAACATTTTAGATGCGTAATTGGTACGCAACAATTATTTTTCAGTGCGTAGTTGGAAATTTTCTATGCGTATTTTACCCGGATACGCAGCTTATCTGGTCCTCTGATGTCCCAAGGTGTCTGATAGCTTGAGTGCAGGACATTGTGCAATCACAGGGAAGAGAGCATGTCCAAGGTGTCAGATAGCTTGAGTGCAGGACATTGTGCAATCACAGAGAAGATAGCATGTCCAAGGTGTCAGATAGCTTGAGTGCAGGACATTGTGCAATCACAGAGAAGATAGCATGTCCAAGGTGTCAGATAGCTTGAGTACAGGACATTGTGCAAAGAAGAACAGGTCACTTGAATAATGAGCTTTGGAATGTGAAAGGTTTCCTTTAGATTTTGAATTACTGCCAATATGTATGCAAATTACTTTCAGTACTGATGTCCTGGACCAACATGAAAAATGATGGCAGCTTTACAACTATTTTGAACTAAATACAAATCATGATCAGATTGTACAAGTTGGGGGAGTGGGGGGTGGGTTTGTTGTTGAAGATACGGGGCACTATCAAAATACTTACAGAGTTACAGTTACTCAAATCACTCTTCGAGACAAATTCATGTATCAATAAATTCCCACAAGATAAGAAATATAGGATAATACACCCAATCAGATTACTTACTTTAAAAGTTGACTGAAAAAGAAAGCTGATTTTAATCATGTTTCACCTGATTTTTGCCCTGGTTGAAATAGAATGAATATGAAAAATGATTTTTTAATTATTTTAGTAATTCAGTAATTACTAAACAGTAACTGAGAAATGATATTTATCGGCGCGCAATTAAATAAATTAATTAAATGTTGTGTCATCTTCAGTATGATGCACACATCCTATTCGTGGGTACAAATTGTGGGCAAAGTATTTCAAGTATTGTGCTCAGTCAAACATTTAACAAGCAGGAGATAACGAGGCAGAGTTGAGAATTTGCCATGAAATGTCGCTCGACACAATGTTGTACCATTTCATTGGTGTTGTTTTGTAGTCATGGTTTTGTATACTGAGATAAAGATGATTTAAATTTGGGTAATAACATTATTAACTTACATACAGAGATATGGGCATGGCATGTCCAGTATTACACATGGGCCAGGGAGGGAAAGCCTCAAAACTTGCTGTCTGTGCATCTCCGTGCATTCTGCTCTCACTGATCTACACACATGTATGCTTCTAAACTTTGCACAATATAATATGGCCCCTTCATCCAACCAATTTGGCCTATTAATCAGTAAAACTGTAGTATTTGGTGCTTGCAATGTTTCTGTTGTGCAGTCACTTTACTGCAGTGAAGGATAAAAAGAACTGTCCATGTTTTCAAGGTAATCACAAAATACAAAGCAGGAAGTAACATTTCCCATCACCAAATATTGGACGTGACATGGTTTTGATAAGATATTATTTGATGGGATAGTTTACTTTCAGCTTTTATTTTCTGCCTCAGGGAGTTAATAATTAGGCCACACTTTTGAATTTCATGTCAGGTTAATTGTAACGATGGTCATGGGAGCCCTGGCTGTCAAAGAGTGTTTTCTTGAACTGCTTCCTTTGACTGACCTAAATAGATACTAATGCATTTTGTCAAATTATTCACTTGTTTCGACCCATTTCTGGTGTCCCCTGCCGTGATATTGCTGAAATATTGCTAAAAGCGGCATAAAACCATACTCACTCACTCACTCACTCACTTGTTTTGACATAAGTATAGACAAATACATATGTGATAGTTATGTAATGTAATGAAATGTTATTATTTCAAATTAGTGATCTAAGGTAGAACAGTTATTTCCTGGTGAACTGACAATGACAAAATTTATGGGAAAAAAGTAACATTTAAGAATTTGAGTGAGTATGGTTTTACAGTGCTTTTAGCAATATTCCAGCAATATCACGGCAGGGGACACCAGAATTGGGCTTCACACATTGTACTCGTGTAAGGAATTGTAAGAATTTGAAATTATTATTGCTGGTCATAAGAAGCATCCCGATGGATTGAATGGTCAGGTTTGAGGACTTTGTGATTTCCTGTTATCATACCTCAATGGGTCAGACTGAAGTATAGGCTTAATGTCAGACAGGTGGAATAGTGCAGCATAAAACAAGAAACAGAGTAACAGAATCATTGTTGTTTGATATTTGCTGTATAGAAGAGGCTCTCAGAATTTGTACCCTATGCTCCATTTGCAATTAGCACGGAATTTTATCTGAAATCATTATGGTAGTTTTGTTATACGATCCGAATTGTCTTCCATCTTCAAGATGTTTTACATTAAAAAATCCTTAAAATCTTATTGGGCATCATTGTGCCAGGTTCAGCTGATTAGTGGTGGCAGATAATTACTCTATTTTCTCAGGACTGTTAGCTCAATGTCTGTGCTTAGTTTAACAAAAGAAGTGCACATTCCTCAACAATATTGTGTAAGGTATGCAGTATTCTGTACTCCAGCCCATCAGAGTCTAATTATCATAATATTTGTAGAAAGGTTAGTCATATATTGATTGTAAAAATGCTTTTGGGAGATAGCCTACCTTGATTCAGTGGCCCAAAGTCAATAGTGTTTTGAGAATAAAGTGGTTTATAAATATTCTCAACAGGCCAGTGTTGTCCAAGATATAATCTTGTTAATACATGATAGAAGTGGCCTGGCGATAGCCTTGAGGAAGTGATGCATCTGGTATGAATATGGGAAGAGTGCTTTCAAACTCCTTTTGTGTTGGATTAAACTGAAAGTTGAATGACAAGAACAAAAAGTAAGTTTATTTAAAAACTTAAAGCTTTTTTCAGTTTTCAGACTGTTGTAGAAATGTTGTATTTTTCTTCCCTGTCCTACTCCGGACATTGAAACATGTACATTTGTTTCATCTGAGCGGCCCAGTTTAACCTGCCCCTTGTTTGAAGTATGGGAGGATTGAGCTTAGTGTTAGTTCTCAAACATTCTCACTGATGGAGCTGGCAAGCTTTCAATGTTTAGCTCCATTGTTTCTATGTCTGTGATCAATAGTTCACCTGGCTGTTTAAAGCCAGGCAGTTGCCACAGTGTATACCTCACTATACAATGATCAGTGGCACTCCAATCTTTGTGTCACTTGCTTATGTGCAGTGGTCAATATCAACAGGTTTGTAAGGAGTTTGTTTTTGAAGAATTCACAATCCTCAGTGTTTTTCTCCATGCCTCTCTCCCTTACCAAGCGTATGGTCTCTGTTAAATACTCTATGTAAACTGGCCAAGCATACCTGGTCATTCTCAAATAAGATATCATGGTCACAAACAATATGTTGGATGAAGTTTTAATCCTTTGTTTCTACCTTGCTTAGCTGCAGTTGTCTGTAGGAATCTGTTTGTTGTATTTGACATGACACCAGATGACACCAGATTATATACATGTGTGTGTGGTTATGAAAGATATATTTCCAGTCAGTAATAAGCCCCACATTGAATTTGTAGTAATTGTACTTTACAATCATGTAATGGATGTTTGCAGATCTGGGTAACAGCTTCTTTGTTTATAGGAAAGGTGGAGTGCAAAGTTTCATACATTTTTGTAAAGAATAATCATTATTAATTGTTGTTCAGCTGAAGTTGAGTCACCGAAGGGGGTATTAGAGAGCCGTGCTCACATTTTTGCATTTGTTTTTAATTTAGGCAAACTGGAAATTTATAAAATGGTCTCATGTTGATGAAGATAGAAACGTCAATTTCCACTTGTCCGGATTTTTATAGGCACAGTGTATTGCAAGTTGTATTCATGTGTCTTTTAAATGATCACAAACTTGAGTTAACACCTGTTTTACTAATTACAGATCAGTAATTTTTATTTACCAATTTCAACCCCTTGGATAATATTACTTGTTATATATTTTTAGTAACAACAGATTTTGCAAATTTTAGATGGCAGTATGTTACTTGGCTTGCAGGGACTTAGTTGCATATGATATTTCTGCATCCTGGATTAATCCATTTACATAATGGCAATTTCTTTCAGGTGTTTTTGTCGTTTTATTGTGATTTGGTTTTGTTGAGTTTCCAATATTAACCATGGCAGTACTTTTATGTCAATATTTTTTGGATCCACAGAACAAGCTAAAGATGGCACTGGAGGAGAGCCCACGAGCTAGTCGATCCCGAAATAGAGAATCCTGTGTGCCTTCTCTCCCACCTCTCTCAATCAATACCATGACACAGGTAATACACTTACAGATTCTTTGCTGACCCTTCCTCAGTTGAACGAACTCAAACAGCCTTGGTACCCTCTGTCCCCAAACACTTGAAAAGCACAAATATGAACTATTATCTTCCTTAAGTGGCATTTAGAAGCTGGTATGATGAAGTGGAACACTTGTTATGGATAGACAACTTCTTTGTTACAGAAGTAGTTGCGACGTTTCGGTGTAGATCCTAACACCGTTATCAAGCAAATGATGTTAGGATCTACACCGAAACGTCGCAACTACTACTGCAACAAAGAAGTTGTCTATCCATAAAAAAGTGTTCCACTTCATGAACTATTAAAATTCATTTTTATTAACCAATGTTATAACAGGACATTAAACATATCACTTATTTTCATCATGCGTAGTCGCATACTGACAGCAACTGTGAAATGATGAGTTTGCCTACACAACATATTGTTTGGCATGGGCAATATTTCCAAGGGAGGTAATATTAATACAGTTCTAATTGATGTAAATGACTCGTTGCCGCCGGAACTAATGAAAGATGGCAGCAATTTCATAGCTTTTTGGTGTAGGTTTATCAACCTCTTCACTGCCTGTGTGCTAGTATCAGCAACATAAATAATACCAAAATAAAGATAAATTTGATGTCTTTTTTGTGTCAAAATAGTAGCTGTTTTGTGTTGGCCAGTTTGTGCCATTTTGCTGGGGTTACAGACATAAACCCATTTTGAACAGTGTATGAAGTGTACTGTTGCTCATAAGTATTGATGCATGATCAAGTAATTGTATTACTTTCTTGAGTACTTATTGTTTAGTTATGAGATTAAAATCGTTAAGCTGAAACTTACCTATTTAAATCCTTATCTGGGATGTATTCAGGAAGCTTTTGCGACTATTGTCGATGCAAGCAGTATAAGGGTTGGGATGACTGATGACAGGATGAGCATGAATTAGAAGATGGTGCATATGATCTTCTCAGAGGAAGTTTTCTGTTGAGATGCATTCCCACCACCAAATACATAAGCCAATGTCCATAACATAACTGATATGGGAACTGGCTCGCCTCAAGCTGCATTTACCTGATATGAAAAGACAAAACCCAACTTATCGAAATAGTACATGCAATGAATACAGCCAGTGCTATGGATTTTTCTTGAATTCTTAACAAAGTAATCCTGGCAGACAAATTGTTAAAACAAATTTTGAAAACTGACATATTTTGTATGCTCCTATTTGTTTAAATTTAGCAGCAACTTTTTTGTTATATTTTATGATGGTGTTTAGTCCAAGAAGAAAAGCCTAAGCATTAAAGTGTCTTGCTATTTATTAGTTTGGTTACAGGTATAGTCCGTTTGGCTCAAAAGCGGACCGATGAATTGCAATCTAACTCGAAATCTACTAAACATATAAACTCAATGAAACACTGATCATAATCAATACATCAGACCAACTCTGTGATTTGTTTACAGGATTTATGTCCTAAAATTTAAAAAGTTGTTTAACAACCTATCATTAAAATTTTGACACAGTTCACTATTTGTTACGAGGGAGGACTGCAAAGAAAGGAACAGCCAGGTGTACGCGGAGCACATGCACAAGTGCCGACAAAGTCATTGATTCATTTACCTAGCTGCGCCGTATCCATCCTTTCTCGCACACCTGACTGTCCCTTTGTCTGCACTCCTCCCTCGTAACAAATAGTGAACTGTGTCAATATTTTAATGATAGTTCGTTAAAAAACATTTTTATTTTTAGGACATAAATTCTGCAAAAACCTCACAGAGTTGGTCTGACGTTTTGATTATGATCAGTGTTTCATTGAGTATGTTATGTTTATTAATTTTGAGTTAGATTGCAATTCATCGGTCCGCTTTTGAGCCAAACGGACTATACTAGTGACATACAGTTTCTACAGAGCCATAAAATTGGTTGTTAGTTCTTATTCATATATTATATAATAAAGATATTAGAGGGTTGGCTATTAACTTGCATGGCTTGGATGTATTACATTTTGCCAATATTGTTTTGATCAGTGCCATGCAAACTTAAGTCAAAACATGCCTTTTCTTTAAAATTTCATGAATATTTGCTTCTAGTGATCGCAAATAATGAATTAAATTCTTGAATGGATATGGTTCAAATACAAGAGTGAATTATAGCATCTCTAATGGATGTAATGTTCCATACAGGCAGTTGAAAACAGTCAAATGTTAACTAAACCAACAGTACCCACTAAATTTATTTCACACATTGCACTTGCAGGTAATGATTAACCGTAATTACAGACGGATAATGATCTTGTACCTACAAACAGGCTCTCGTATGAGCCATGCTCCGCTCTACTCTACTCTACTCTGCTCTGCTCTGCTCTGCTCTGCTCTGCTCTGCTCTGCTCTGCTGTTTGTCTTTGTGTAATGTGTCTACCCAGTGCCTGAAGTTTGTCTTGTCTGTCTGTTCAGGGTCAGCTGCGAGAATTTGTCCCTGCTCTGATGAAGGTAGTCAGTGGGAGTGGAGATAGTACCCGTGCACCAGGCCTTATTCAGAGACCTCACTGGTGGCCACCAGATGTACCCCTCTGGTCAAATGCCACAGGCAGAAACAAAGAGGTAAGCAATATTGTAAGTAATTCAGCTTGCTTAGAGTTTTGTTCAGGGTGTCTCAAGTGCTTGAATATATATACATTAATCTTCTTAAGAATCATATATCTTAAGTCCATTAACTTCCAGCCTGGCTTGTCTCATCTGGCTGGTCTTTTGAACCAGTTTTGCTTTCAGGATTTGGGATATCGGTAAACACTGAATTGTTATATACTATACTTCAAGATCCATACTAATTGTTCTGTGACATTGGTATGTTGTAAATGTATCGTTTTATTTCTGTTACGATTTTAAAGAACCTCATAGCTTCCTTATTTTTCCAAAATTAGTTGCCCAGAATGTATTACTATCTTCTTCAAGCATTAACGTGGAAGTGAAAATATTTTGATGATTTTGGGATCATAGTGATGTGTGCGTGATACAGCTGCAAGGGCTCAATAGTTGCCGCGAGTCGATTTGCTGTTTTAACGCAATCTGGAATATTCTTGAACAGCTACAGAACAATCCATCATGTTATTTAAATTTCTGGATGTTATTAAGACTATGTAAGTGAGCAAGCAATTACCGCTATCATCTCAAATGACATCAAAACCAGAGGTTGACTGAAGATATTTTTTTCACCCTGGATATTTTGGAAGCTTGACATTAGTTACTGCTAGGTGAATGTTATCATTACTGAAATTTTGTCTGTTACTGCTACAATAGTATATCATATAGCACAAGAAGTATGAGTATGAGTATTTCATAAGCGCTTTAGGCATGCATGTAGTTGGGATGGACTATAGCGCTATATATATACCCTTATAATAATAATAATAATATATTTCATACTGCCATTGCGTTTTGTACTGGCAGTTTTGTATGATTCAATTGTTTTTACTTTGGGGTAATTTGTGTTGACATATTCCTTGTTAATGTTGCAGTCCAGTTGTTAATAGTTGTTGAAGAATGTGATGTTTAATTAGGCATTAAAAAAGAAAAATTATAATGGTAAACTGAGAAAGAGAAGAAATAAATTTCACTTGAAACTGAGAAGGATGAGAGCGATAATTTAAGATTAAACAGTTAGAATTTCATGCTGATAAAGAAATTAAGTTGAAACCAAGAGACTCACAGACACATTGTTTTATCAGCATCGTCATGCAGTTCAGGTGATAGATGGTTTACTCTTTCAAACAGATTAGACTTGCTCCACCTTTTGCTGAACATGATGTTGAAAGTTTTTCTCTTACATTTTGAAAATGTGGCTTACAGATTAAAATGACCTGAACATTATTGGACCATGTTATTGCAAATATATTTAGGAGTAAAACCAAGGAAGTTTATTCTACTTTATCTATTAATGAGAGTTCTAATTGTCAGGCTGTTAAAGCTGCAGCTTGGAAGGTTTATGAATTGGTTCCTGAAACAAAGGCTTATAGGGAAAAGTTTAGGTCTCCTAAAAAAAGATGGTTTTGCTTCTGTTAAGTTTGCAAGGGAGCAGGAATCATGGACTTGTTGTGTACTTCCAAGGTCAATGGTCATTTGATAAGGCATTAGGTTTTGAACATAAAGAATTTTCTGGATTTCTTCTTCTCTTTATTATTTGAAACAAAGTTTGTTTGGTTTTGTTGGAGGATTCACAGTGTTTTCAGTCAGGAAAAGATAGATTCTCTCTTCTTCTTTTTTTCTTCTTTATTTCCTTTCCTTCCCTTTCCTTCTCTCTCACTCACTCTCTCTCTCTCTCTCTCTCTCTCTCTCTCTCTCTCTCCATGCATGCTAGCTTCATCAAACATGAATTTTATTTTTTGCCATTTCCATGGAAACATGACTTAGGCTGTGACTATGAGGATGTCACCATACACTACGATGATACAGTTATACTTGGAGATTTCAATCAGCGCACAGAAGATCTGAACAGTCATGGAAGAAGCTGGTTTCACTCAGCACATCAGTGGACCGACTCACACCCATGGTGGAACACTTGATCACATTTACACTAATGTGCCTGTTCATTCCAGTGGAGACATCCCAGTCCCATACACTGACCACCATCTCTTATGGGCACAGTTGTGAGAACCTACAGAGTACAACGATGCTGTCAAGATTTCAACATTTGTGACAATTATATATTGTATAGTAGTACAATCATCCGTGTGTGATGAATGCACATGATATAGCTACATCAATGACTAAGAAAGTACTAGGTCATGATATCTATTATAAGTATTCATAGAAACTGAAGTATATTTTCCACAGTAGAATGAATTGTTAAGGATGAGTGTTTACTAGGGCTGTAACGAATACACTATGTGGCGAATATGATACGTATCACGAATATTGGGTAACGAATACAAATAATTATTCATGAATACAATATTGAAGTTAAGTGATTGATGCACAATATTGAATGCCCAAGTTGACAGTGTTAATTTGTCACATCAATAACCAGTGATCTCATGACACTCAAATTTGGTATCTAATAGTTATAGCTGACAGTAACATGTGCGGCCTTGGAAAACTAACATGACTTGCGGTACTACAAGGCTAGTACATATTTCATTCTTGCATATCTCATTTTGAAAAAGGACATAAGGGTTCAAGTAAAACGGACACCTTTAAAAAAATAGTAAATATTCATGAATATTCGGTTCTGGTGGCCACGAATAACAAATTGAATTCATGAAGGGCTACAGTTCGATTCACTGAATATGCGAGTGAATCGTAACAGCCTTAGTGTTTACATCTAAAAATTATAAACTTTCACAAGAATTTGGAAAAACCCGAAACTTTAAAGTAACCCAAGTTGACCATCATTGATCTGTGGCATCACCTGTTGTAATTATCCCCCGCAACACGTTTTGCGGGGGGTATTAAAATGGACTCCGCCCGTCCGTCAGTCCGTCCGTCCGTCCGTGCACATTTGTCTTTTCCGGAGCAGAACTCTAAAACCGTTCAATATTTCTTCACCAAACTTGGCACATACATGGATCTGGTGGTGTACTGGTGCCTTTTGGTAGTTTTGGAATTCTGAATAAAATATTTTTGGCGTTTCCGTGGCAACAAGTTCCACTTAGACTGAAATTGGTGGTAGTGCTCTTTTCCGGAGCAGAACTCTAAAACCGTTCAATATTTCTTCACCAAACTTGGCACATAGATAGATCTGGTGGTGTACTGGTGCCTTTTGATAGCTTTGGAATTCTGAATAAAATATTTTTGACGTTTCCATGGCAACAAGTTTGACTTAGCCTGAAATTGGTGGTAGTGCTCTTTTCCGGAGCAGAACTCTAAAACCGTTCAATATTTCTTCACCAAACTTGGTACATGGATAGATCTGGTGGTGTACTGGTGCCTTTTGGTAGTTTTGGAATTCTGAATAAAATATTTTTGGCATTTCCATGGCAACAAGTTCCACTTAGACTGAAATTGGTGGTTGTGCTCTTTTCCGGAGCAGAACTCTAAAACCGTTCACTATTTCTTCACCAAACTTGGCACATAGATAGATCTGGTGGTGTACTGGTGCCTTTTGGTAGTTTTGGAATTCTGAATAAAATATTTTTGGCGTTTCCATGGCAACAAGTTCCACTTAGCCTGAAATTGGTGGTAGTGCTCTTTTCCGGAGCAGAACTCTAAAACCGTTCAATATTTCTTCACCAAACTTGGCACATAGATAGATCTGGTGGTGTACTGGTGCCTTTTGATAGCTTTGGAATTCTGAATAAAATATTTTTGACGTTTCCATGGCAACAAGTTTGACTTAGCCTGAAATTGGTGGTAGTGCTCTTTTCCGGAGCAGAACTCTAAAACCGTTCAATATTTCTTCACCAAACTTGGTACATGGATAGATCTGGTGGTGTACTGGTGCCTTTTGGTAGTTTTGGAATTCTGAATAAAATATTTTTGGCATTTCCATGGCAACAAGTTCCACTTAGACTGAAATTGGTGGTTGTGCTCTTTTCCGGAGCAGAACTCTAAAACCGTTCAATATTTCTTCACCAAACTTGGCACATAGATAGATCTGGTGGTGTACTGGTGCCTTTTGGTAGTTTTGGAATTCTGAATAAAATATTTTTGACGTTTCCATGGCAACAAGTTTGACTTAGCCTGAAATTGGTGGTAGTGCTCTTTTCCGGAGCAGAACTCTAAAACTGTTCACTATTTCTTCACCAAACTTGGCACATAGATAGATCTGGTGGTGTACTGGTGCCTTTTGGTAGTTTTGGAATTCTGAATAAAATATTTTTGGCGTTTCCATGGCAACAAGTTTGACTTAGCCTGAAATTGTGGTAGTGCTCTTTTCCGGAGCAGAACTCTAAAACCGTTAAATGTTTCTTCACCAAACTTGGCACATAGATTGGTCTAGTGGTGTACTGGTGCCTTTTGGTAGTTTTGGAATTTTGAATAAAATATTTTTGGCATTTCCATGGCAACAAGTTTGACTGAAATTGGTGATAGTGCTGCTTTCTGGAGCAGAACTTTAAAAACCTTTCAATACTCTCCTTCCACTTTTCTATATACACACCTAAATATTTCTATATACACACCTAAATATTTGACATAATCATAACTCGTAGACATAATCATGAAGAGTATTTTGCCATTGAGGGGGATATTGATGACTTTGTCTTCTTGTTTCCTTATAAATATTGTATTGCCATGTCAAAGTTGGCACTGTTGCGGTGGACATTGGTGACTTTGTCTTCTTGTTGGGTTTTTCTGAGTCAGCTAGGAAGATTTAGTTTATGTGGACCAGTCATAAATGTCTGCTATTGTGTGAGAGAGAGAGAGAGAGAGAGAGAGAGAGAGAGAGAGAGAGAGAGAGAGAGAGAGAGAGAGAGAGAGAGAGAGAGAGAGAGAGAGAGAGAGAGAGAGAGAGAGAGAGAGAGAGAGAGAGAGAGAGAGAGAGAGAGAGAGAGAGAGAGAGAGAGAGAGAGAGAGAGAGAGAGAGAGAGAGAGAGAGAGAGCTTTTGGTAGTAAGGATTTGTGTCAAAGTGGTAGCTCAAATTTTAAACCTTTTACTGTTGCTAATATTCTTGACTATTTGGCTGTTGAAGAACCAGTACTGGGTATGGAATAGTTTTAGTTACAGAAGGAAGATCCAGAATTCAAATGTCTTGCTGAACATGGTTCCTGTTTGCCATTATTTCAGACCTCACTTTTTGTGTAAGAATGGAAGATTTTCATTGAATTTTTGTTCAAAATTCATATTGCATGAAACTTTTTTTGCAAGTTATTTGGGTGTTTACAAAACTTATGTGACCGAATTCTGTCCCATTTCTTTTGGCCTCATATGCAACATGATGTGGATCACCTGCCAAAGAGCAAACCTTATCAGAATATCTCAGCGCCTTTTGGGTTTGTCCTTTTGACCTTGTGACGTAGTGTTATTTTACCTCTAAAGATCTGAAAGGCACAATGTCAAACATTTTCGACGATATTTGGGCCTATATTATATATATTGGGGCATATGCACTTACTTTAGCTTCCTATTGATGCAATAAAGGACTTAGTATCCCTTACAACTTGCCTGAAATCGATAATTGAAACTTTGAGGCGAACAGCTTCCAAACAGAGAACACTTGCCATATATGGAATGTAAACAATTGCTCCGTACATCGAAAACTGTCGCATGCAGTGTTGTCGGTGTTTGCTTTTTAATTTAATATTCTGATTTAAATGTGTAAATTATGGGGGGAATAAATAATATGGTAGCTTCACTGATAGTTATTATTATTGAGAGAAATGCATTATTTATTTTTAGAGTGATTGAGTGAGTTTACTTTTACGCCGGACTCAGCAATATTCCAGCTATATGGCAGCGGTCTGTAAATAATCGAGTCTGGACCAGACAATCCAGTTATCAACAGCATGAGTATTGATCTGCGCACTTGGGAACTGTCAACCAAGTCAGTGAGCCTGACCACCCAATCCCATTAGTCGCCTCTTACGACAAGCATGGATTACTGAAGATCAATATTCTAACCCGTACCTATCACGGGTCATTTATTTTTAGAGAAGTGTGGTGTGATACAGTGCCTTTAAAGGAGTTTTGCATTAGTCTTGGGTCTGAAATAAATTTGTTGGGAGTATGTGTTATCATTTTAGGTGGGCTTTCTAATGCTTGTGAATTTGCAAGGGATAACTGAAAGAATCCCAGGACAAAATAAAGTTGAGCATTATTGTAAAATGTATCCGAGAAAAAATCAGTCTTGGCAGTAAAGTTTACGGGGCCAGACATGTCACTGGAAGAGACTGTCCTAAATGAGGATTGTTAATTTAGGTCTCCGTCTCCGTCGTTGTTCTGTTTGTTTTCTGCCTAGATTAATTCCTGTGTGTATTAATTTTGGCATCTTAGAAAAGAAATACAGTTCGCCCTCCCCCCATGTATAGTATAATAAAGTACCTTTTGCCCTGAACTATTATAACATTTAAGCACTCGGATGCAAGCGTCCTTATACTTTAACTATTATAGTTCAGGGCAAAATGTACTTTATTGAACTATACATGGGGGTAGAACAAACTGTATTTCTTAAATAGTGTGACAACAGGATTAACTTGAGTGATTCAGTATGGATTTGTTGACACTGTATTTCCGATGACTGATCACAAGCAAAAGATGAGCGGATGTTGATGGGTGGGCTTATCTACGGAACATACCATTTTTTCCCCAGCAATGCATTTTGCAGGGGTTATTATCTTTTCCGGAGCAGAACATAAAAAAATGTTCAATATCTCTTCGCCAAACTTTGCACATAGATAAGTCTGGTAGTGAACTGGTGCCTTTTGGTAGTTTTGGTTTTCTGAATAAAATATTTTTTGCATTTCCATAGCAACATGTTTGACTTTGACTGAAAGTCGTGGTAGTGCACCTTTCCAGAGTAGAACTTTAAAACCTTTCAATACTCTCCTTCTACTTTGTGGGTATTCAAGTACTTTATTTCCAGTATCAATATTACTGAGGTACATCAAACACTCGGTCAGCCTGTTGTTAATACAAACATGCTAGTATATGAATAGTTTACATATATATGATTTCACAAGATCAATGTAACAATTGACGTAGTCAGAACATGTTGACATATTCATAGTATTTTACCATTGCTGGGAATGTTGATGACGTTGTCTTCTTGTGATACTGGGGGCAGTGGGGTAGCCTAGTGGTTAAAGCGTTGGCTCGTCACGCCGAAGACCCGGGTTCGATTCCCCACATGGGCACAATGTGTTAAGCCCATTTCTGGTGTCCCCTGCCGTGATATTGCTGGAATATTGCTAAAAGCGGCGTAAAACTAAAACTCAGTCAGTCAGTCAGTCAGTCAGTCAGTCTTGTGATACTGATTTTAAAGGGTCAAGTCAGGACCTCGACTTATGTATGAGATCAGCTTATCTACTGTAATATGCGGTATCTACTTGATTGTAAATTAAGAGGACAGGCCACAGTGTACTGAATTCGGATAAAGACAATTTATATGACATATCTGACATCTCTGTTTTAGGCAGCATTCACTGAAGCTATGAAGAAGGTTGTGCGGAACTGCTACCACCATCTTGGTCAGGAGTCGCTGCTGTCCACCGGCAAACTCAATGATTGGAAGACTGTCGTAGCTCATGGACAGTCTCGGAGACAGGCAAGAGCATCACATACACATTCAGCACTTTACCTGAATAAGTCACTCTGTTAACATCTGGTAACCACTTGGTATTGGATGTCATTCTCAGGGTGAATTGTCAAGTAGTAATAATGATGCGACAATTGAGGACATTGTAGTCCATTTATCAGTATGAATTGAAGAGTTTTGGTTATCAATAATCAGTAAAAGATTGATCTTTAAGTAGGGACCTGTGAAGGTCCGGGTTAGAATATTGGCCTTCAGTAACCCATGCTTGTTGTAAAAGGTGACTAACTGGATCGGGTGGTCAGGCTCGCTGACTTACATGTCATCGGTTCCCAATTGTGCAGACCGATGCTCATGATGTTGATCACTGGATTGTCTGGTCCAGACTGATTATTAACAGACTGCCGCCATATAGCTGGAATGTTGCTGAGTGCGGCGTAAAACTAATCTCACTCACTCACTCTTTAAGTAGGACCATATATTTGATCTTATGTCCATGTTAAGAATAATTTGTTTGTTTAGTATGTATATATGATGTTAAAATCACTAGTGTAATAACATTTTGTAACTGTATTTTCAGAATTTCAGTGCCAACAATAGCTCAGATCTGCTATGTAGGACTCCAGGTAACTTTTTTTCTGTTATACATTTCACAAATATATCATTTGTGAATCTTCAAATAGGAAACATTTTGAGCATCACATACTCTGTGTGACTACTGACATTTAGGATGCAATTATTCTACAAATTGATGAATACAATTTGTATGTGGAATGTGAGGTAATGAATATGAATAATTCCATGTGAATTCTGTTATTTCTTGTGTATAATTTCTGATTTGCCTGTTGTATGTCAGTGTAGTGACATCACTATTAGTTGCCAGTTGATAATAGGTATTATGGAACACAAGTGGCCACAGCAGTTCTCCAGAACAAACTAACGCATACAGAAAAATGGCAAGAAAGAAAATAATTAATCGTTTGCATGTATTTAATTATATTTTGGCTTGAATGACATGTTTAATTTACTGCCTCTTTCAGACCTGATCAAGAGTGGCAAGAAACCGTTCGTGGAAATCTATGTGTGTTTCTTCTGTAACAAGGAATTTTCTAATAAAGAGGAAATGAGAAAACACCAACTGAACTGTACTGAGCGTCCACAGGAGTTACAATCTCTCAACACCCCACCTCCTGCAACCAAACGTAACAAGTCTAAAGTGAAGTGTCCAACGTCCAGCCCAACTACTGTCACTCCGCCAAGAAGCCCCACCCTAGAAAGCTATCTACAGAAGCTTCATCTCATTCCTGTTTCTAAAGCCAAGAAGTTGAGAGCATCAACTAGAAAAAGTACAGACCTTGACTGTGCTAAGATTGATTTCAGTGAGCCAGAGACACCTGTCTCCCCCACAACTCCTAAGACACCAAAACTGTTAATATCTCAGTTGAGTCGAGATGATTCGGGGCAGTGTAAGCGACGTCTGTCATATCGGATTCAGGAAGAGCACAGTGATTCCGACAGTGTGGTCAGTGGCAGTAGCGAGGACACAGAGGAGAAGCAGCCTCCCCGTCAGGACAAAGTCACTACTCAACATTGAGTTGTCCTCACTCCTTGGACAGAGGATTCAGAAACATCTGAAATCAGAATCTAGCATTTGTGTTGTGGCTAATGCAGAGGCTTTCTGCAAGACCCCTGTAAAGAATCATTTCCTTGAGAAACTAAGAAAGAAGGAAAATGTATACCCTGTTACATACAAACCAAGGAAGAAAATCAAGAAACGACCACATGTACATGTGTACTCCTTTACAAAACGTCAGAGGCGATTGCATTTTAGGAGGCTGGAAACAGGCTTAGATAAGAAGAGTCGTTTGCTGGCCAGATCTTTACCCAAATGCAAAGTTGTTATAGGCAGGTTGTCAAAGCAAGGTTTAAAGTACTGGCTTGGTCGTAAAGAGAGTCAACAAAAGAAAATTCAATGCATATTCCCTGAAGGACCAACATTCCTCTCTGAAGACATTGACAAAATGCTTGGTTTGAGGAAGAAGAACAAGTCACCAAAGCCAGAAAGGAGCCTGTCCCTGGCCAATGTTGTATCTGAGGACACTAATGCTGAAGTGTTGCAGCAAAAGGTAGCTGTGTATAGAAGTCTGTTGTCAGATCTTTCTTCCAGCAAGGAGAAAACACTTATCAGCATGTCACCGAGTAAACAGTCATCTCAAAAACATATGAAGGGTAGCAATCTGCAGGCATCTGAGAAGTACTCCAAAATGTCTGCCTCTTTGTTTACAGATGACTACATGGAAAACCCAAACCTGAAGGATAGATTCCCTCAACTAAATTCTCTACTTGCAGCACCTTCTCTACCTGGTGAACCTCTAACCCCCTCCTCATCAACCTCATCTAGTCCTGTCTCCTCTCGTCAACTCTTTAAAAAGACTTTCAGTCAGCCTCTCAGAATTGACATACCTACTCAGGGCTCAATTGGCAAGCAAAGGATGATAAGCCCATTCTTTCCGAACTCTAGTCATGGGGATGGTTTAAGAGATCACATCTCTCCTGATGATTCAGTGTCTATCATCACTGTATCATCAGATGAAGATTCATTTACAAATTCTTTGTGTTGCACAGGATGTAGACAAAGGCAGAAGTGTAAGTGCACGCCAGTAAAGGTTGATCTCAATACAGATGTAAAATCATCACACAGTAAGGAGATTTCATCCAGTCGAAATTGTTTTGGTCATTTTTTGAAAATGGATGCCAGGCCTAAAGCAGCACATCTCCCAGGTACACAGAAGAAGACTAAAGAGAAAAAGGAATGCAATTTTACTCACGAGGGAAAGAAAGTTAAAGAGACCTCAACAGAACATAAAAAGAAACAGCAAACTTTAGTTGGAGGGAAACTGAAAACTAAGAAGACAGGTGAAAAGAGATCAAAAGAGTCTTCAGTACATGCTGATGTTAAGGAAAGTAAAAAAAGTGTGTTGGTTTCAGAAAGCAAAAAGAAAGCTGATGCTAAAGTGACTATCAGAGGCCAGTATGGACTGCGCAAACAGGCAAGTTCCAGTAAAGGGATTGTGAAATTGTCTCTTAGGTCCAGCCCTGTCAATAAGATAAATCCTACAAAGAGACTTACAAAACCTGGGTTACGAAGTCATAACTCTGCCCCTGCAAACTATGCAGGGAAAGGTCTGAAGAGACGTGCATCAGACACCCCAACGAAAAGTGCTAATTTATCAAGTCCCAAGAAATCCAAATTGGATGTGCTATCACGACCAAGAAGGAACTCTGTTCTTGTCTGACTTCAGTCAAGCAGGAACTGGTGGTTGCTTCGTAGTTCACAGGAAAGACTATAAATTACATATGAGCAAAACAATTGTTTTCCCCGTTTGTATCCTTATCTTTTAAAATGAATATTAACGATGTGAGAAAGATCTTTTAGAAAGAAATCAGTTTTATTTGAAGTTGTATGTTCATTTCCCAATCAAAGCCTATTTTAGTGTTTGGGATATGTTTTAGGACATTTTACATTTTTATAAACAAAGTGTTCTAAAAATCTGTTTTCAACACACTATTTCTTTAACAATGGGAACAAGAGGATTTTCTAGAGCACTTGTCACCAGAATGTCAGGTGTACAGAAGCATCCCTTGCCTCATGTACACTGTACATGTAAACACAAAGGTGCTGTACAGGATGCCTTGTGGTTGCATTTCACATTACATTTGGTATTAATGTATGTATGGTTACAGAATCTCACCCAGGAAGCTTGTGATGGTTTCAAGTATTGCTAGTTACTCTTTATAATTGACAGTCTGTGTGAGTTATCTGTTACACGTTATTTCTGGAGTTTCACAAGTTGATCCTTTAATTAACATTTCATGTTTCACTTGTAAGATCTGATCCTGTTTGTAACGAGGAAATGAGAAAACACCAACTGAACTGTACTGAGCGTCCACAGTTTGCCTTTCAGAAAATGGAGAGAAAAAATAAGCCCATTTGATTACATGTTTGATGGTAATGGGATGTTGAGCTGCTGCAATACTGAATGGTAAGCCATGAATGTGTTAAATAGCAGTAGTCCTATTCAATTATTTCACTTTCTGAAATCTAACATATAAAATCCCCTATGTGAGGTAAAGGACAGACTTGAGGCCAGCCTAACATATGAGAATGTCACTGCATCTACTTGTCGTCACATCCTGTACATGCAGCTATCAAAATTAACATGAAAATTTCCAGTTGTTCACATAATTGAGGCAGCTATCATTTCCATGGAGAACTATCCATTTACTGTCATCACGAGTGGCTGCTGGAAGGATAATCAGGGATGGTCCAGTTGATAGTTCACTTTTGGCCACACAAATAGTACCTTTTCACAATCAGTGAAATTTGCTACATTTTTTTTTAGATAATCTCACAGAAAAGTACCTCAGTTACTGTCAACTGACTGACTATGAAACTATTGATGTATGATGTTTTCTGGATTGATTCCATTTGTTACTCATGTACAGATGAAGAAAATCAGTCTTCTTGTTACGCATCTTGCAGCATTCTTCTCATTTCAAAGCTAAATGCACATCTGAAGTTTAATAAAGTAGGCAAGAAGAGATTTCCATGAACCTTATAGAAGTAAAGGATGCATGTTGTCTGATCGAGATTGTAGAAATCGGGGGGTCCATCAGAGATTTTATTGAGCATATCTCAATTTAATTCAGAATGCAGGTTGTATCCTCAACGAAGGTTGTATTGTCCTATGGAATGTGCATACTTGTTTTTTTCCTTTAATGTTAATTGTATTGAAGGCCTCTTTTGTTTTTATTTGGTCTACCGAACTGGTAGTATGTTTATCATTATTTCATTTGAAACCATTCAAAATATAGAAATATGTCTGATGGTTTGGCTTTGAGGCTTTGGTTCTTCATTAATGTAAGGTGGAGTATGTGGGGCATATTGCCTCGCTTCATGCCTTTTATGTAATTAGACGTTGCATGCCAAACAAGATTTATGTCCTCAGTTGCTGAATTTTACATTTGCTTATCAACTATGTGTGATTTATTGTCAAACATTTCTAAATTCTACAAAAAAAATAGTTTAAGAAAGTGACACTTGATTGAACATAATTCTAAGGGTGCTTACAGAAAGTTAACATTTACCCAAAATACATATTTTAAGTCTATTTTTTACCCTAGAAACGTGTGATACTGAACATTGAGGATTATGTAGTCATGCAAGGTAGTAGACCTTTGTAGTCAGGAAGAAGGCTGACTGAAATCAGCAAGAGACTTATTATTATTTTTAGGGGTTGGTCATATTCACTTGATTCAAGGTTAAGATACAAACATTTTCATGTAGTAACTCTGTTTATCTGTTTTGAGTCATATGCAAACCTATCCAACTAAGGACAGCAGAATGGAAGGGAAGGTTGTATTAACGTTTAATATTATTGATATTTTAGAAGGGATACAGTTCAGTGAATCCCAGTCAGAGTTCAGACATTTTATTGCATTTTGGACTTTGTTCTTTTTATGTTTTGAGCTCATCAGTTAAGAAGTGTTGATAAATGTATTAAAGTTGACATTATATTGAGATAAGGACAACTTTAGGCTCAATTGGAGGAAATTCAGTGCTTGTATTTTCAATCCTTGCTGTACGTCAAAGGTTTACGGTGGTAACCATGGTAATGCTGAGGAATGGCAAAGTTGCAAATTTCAGAAATATTGCATAAGAATATGATAAACATTGTTACATTTATGTGTGTGGAATGGTGAAACAGTATGGTAATCCTGTTATGAGAATGTCCTGGTAGTTTGGCCAATGAGCATACCATAATTCTATGTTCTTAAGACAAATCTGTCAGTGCGATTCATGAGGTATTTGTGTACCTGCATGGAAGGAATTGTATTGTACGTGAAGTCAGAATCAGTTCAATTCTTGGAGCATGGTTGACAAGCCACTGAAGTTATTGGGAAATGAAACTGTGATAAGATGGAAGAACCTACTTACTTTTCTTATGTTCATGTGATATTATGAACATATTTGGCCATTATGGGGCAGTTTTAGTTGTTAATCCTGTGTTTTGCCAGTTGTCTGAAACAATTGTGATAATACTTCTCCACCTTACCACAATATAACTATGCTAATACTTAAAAAGTTTGATTTAAAAAATAATTGAATTGTTAAAAGAAACTTATGCCAAAGAATATTTTATTACTTCTTTTATCCTTAGTTGTTGAATGAATCTGGACAGTATTGTTAATGGTTGATGTATGTCATTGACATTGTTTATTGTGTTAATGATGCTTCCTGAGATACTGACTCAAGTCATTACTTGATTGATGAAGACGATGAGTGTAACATTATGACAAATGACCTGAGTGCAACCAACAGATGACCTTCTGTAGTTCCATCCTCACATGTGTTTCTTACTTCACACAGTGGCTCTCATTACCTCAATCAGCACCTTATGAAAATAGTTTTAGATTATCCCACCTAATGTTAATCTCCATAACATTGCTTTTGTCCTCATTTTGTCTTGTCATAAACCTTATTGGCAGATATTTTGTTTGAGCTTTCTAGAGAAATTACTGTATGTTGGCTTAATTTGGATGTTGTATGATATAGTCACATATCACAAAGCCATCTGTATTGTTTGTACAGCAATGTGACAATTGAGTCGGTGCAAAAATACATAGATCCTCTTGAGTTTAAATATTGCATGTCTGAAATAGTAAATGCATGGCACAGCCTTAATCCAACTATTGTTCAGTTACATATATGATGAAGTTTATTTCCTTGACACTATACATTTTGGATTCTCTTCCCCCTCAACCCACTTGACATTTAAAAAAAAAAGAACTTTATGCATGCACATTTTATCCTACACATTAGATTTCTTGTTTGTGTTTAGAAAGGCAACCTGTTCCCTTATTTTGGTACTTTGTTTTGTGTAGTTGAATATAACCTCAAAGAGGGTTGCTTTTAAAATAGTCAGACCTTTTATTTCAGAATTGTGATCTCTTAAGATATTACATTTGAACAAAATGAGATGATCTGCCTCAATCACGGATCTTTTCCATGTATAAAAGGACATGCATTGATATTTTACCATATTCTGTGATCATTTTACCCTGCCGAAAACATTTTTATCTTCCATACTAGACAAAGAGAACAACCATGTACATTGACCATTGACCAATTGTTATTGAAGCACGTTTATGTTTTATATGCAAATATCAGTATTCCATATTGATGCCAAGTATATTTGCACTATGTGCAAGCAAGATGGTAGTAAGCGTATGTGACTGTAGTAAGGTATGAAGGCATTGTTTATCATCAGGGTGCTGGAGCAAACACATTTTCATTTAAAAGTTCTCTCTTTGATCCCAGGTCATGATGTTTGCAACAGTTCTTACTCAATGAAGATATGTTTAATTTCATTCAATACTACCCATCAAAAGTTTAGACTCACTGAAAGCACTCACTATGTTATGGTTACACCAAAGATGAATTTCTCCACTAACTCCAAACCTTATGCAGATGAATTGCATGAGGATCATGCATCAAATTTGCTGAAAAGCATGTGCAAATATCGTGCATGTTAACAGCTGCGTATTGGTGTAACGTTATGTTAAGAATTCGCCAATTTTCACGGGGTTTCATCATTTATTGATATCATGACAATAAGCTTTTCAACTGTTCAAATTTGTTTTACAATACATCAGTTCATGTGTAAACCGTACCTTTAAACAGTATGTAATATTTTACAAAATCTAGTTTAGAACAGTTGACTGAAGTAAGTGTCTATATTTACACTAGTGAGTCTAAACTTTTGATGAGTATAGTTAGCTGCTAAAAGGGCCACAGTACCATTCATTTACTGTTGGAGAGAAGTAACTACAGTCTCATACAGCATCAGTTTAGGTTGATTTGAAGGCATTGTGTGCACAAGATGGGTCTGTAGACCACTTTATGTGGTTTGAATGCATGACATGTAGACTGTAGCAACAGGGTGATCAGGAACTTTTTGGCTGTTTAGTGTGACGCTGTACCTTTGAGTGTGTTAATTTGGCAAGTGTTGTACATACTATACATATATTACTGTTATTTTGATGCAATAATGTTTTTGTTGAGATCATCCATATGCCTTCCTTTTATCATGAGCTATTATCATCAATTCCTGTATTTTCATACCCATTGCAGTGCTAACATGCAGCATTGAATAAAGTGTAAATAAGTGACACTTTTCTTTTTTTTTCAATCTACATTTTGCTCTCACAAGAACCATGCCCAGCTCCTCTCTTGACAAGTGTCCCACACTGTTCTGATTAGGATATCTGCCTTTCAAACAAAGAAATCCATCTGTGGGTTCATAACACTTTATTTGATGTCTAAATTATAGCTACAGAAACAGCATCTTTGGAGACGATTGCCATCCCACCTGATAAACCACTGTTTGAGGGTCTGACACATTTATGACCTGTTGGCCTTGATAGTAATAGCCAAGCTGCTGTTGTCATTTGTATTGACAGTGCTGTAAAAAAATTAGACTTTTGACCTTACTCAGGGAATATTAACTCCGTTAAAACCCATATGCCACAAAAGTGCCTGCAATACAAGCTTTTACACACATAACAGAGTGGATGTATGTTTTGTCTAGACATTGCCAATACAGATTTCTCTTATTTTAGAATGACAGTTATTTTTTATTATCCCCTGCCGCGTATTTAGCGCAAAGTGGGGGATATAGTATTAGGCTCCGTCCGTCAGTACGTACGAATTGGAATATCTTAAGAACCGTTGACTGGAGTCTTTTCATATTTGGTACTCAGGTTCGTCACAGTAAAAGAAAGGTCCCAGTCAGGTTTGGTGACCTTGACCTTCATTTCAAGGTCACAATGGGACTTCAACATTTTACCCTTGTCAGCGAGATATCTCAAGAACCGTTCGCTGGATTTCATATTCGACATCAAGCTTCATCGAGGGAAGGCGCAGGGCCCAGTCGATTTTGGTGACCTTCCCCCTAATTTTCAAGGTCACAGCGACACTTTAAAGATTTCAGCATGTTAACCTGCATGTAAAGATTGTCAGCGAGATATCTCAAGAACCATTCACTGGACTTTCTTCATATATGACACCAAGCTTCATCTAGGGAAGGTGCAAGTTCCAGTCGATTTTGGTGACCTTCACATAATTTTCAAGGTCACGGTGACACTTTGAAGATTTCAGCATCTTAAACTGCATGTTAAGATTGTCAGCGAGATATCTCAAGAACAGTTCGCTGGATTTTCTTCATAGACTTTCAAGACTTCCCTTGAATGTTTTTCAATAAGCAATTTTCTTTATGACTATTTTGCATATTTCATACACTAAGACATTCATGTCAAGGTCAAAGTGAGTCTTGAAAATATTTGTGCGTTTCAACAACTACAGAGCAATATATCAAGAGAGGTTGACTGGTCATGTTTTTGTTGACATTTAACTTCATCTTAAATTACGACCTTCACTTTCATTCCTTTTTAAGTTTGATTTGATCATTTGTGGCGGGGGATTATGTCACCTTAGTGACAATGCTTGTTTATATCTGTTTCATATCAAGTATAGCTCCTTTGTTAGCCCTGGCTGGGGAATGTTTGTTATCTGCTTCACACAAGTCACCCTTATTAACAAGATCAACACTTTTGGAACCCACAGGATCAGTCTAATCTTTACATATACTAACAGAAAAAAAGTAACTGTGCATATCATAAAATTGCATAAAAGAAAACTTATTTAAAAAGTTGACATCCATAAAATTCTTGCCTTTATGTGTATCACTTCTAATTGCCCTTCAACGACTCTACTATTATAATGTTTCACTGTGTGTTCCCCATTACTATTGTAATGTTTTTTTCACCGTGTGTTTGCTGGGGGTGTCTGCTATATTGCAGTTTCTATACGACACACGCTGTATAGTTTGTAAAGCCAGGGAATCTCATAAGTGCCCTCATTCACACTGTTTGCATTGCACTTTTCCGTGTTTTCCCCTGTCTATGTATGAATGTGCTAGTTACGCTTACTTATTCATCTTCACACCTTTTTCTGTCTATGAAGCGCCAGGTCAAACGCTGACGTCGCCTGTGACAAGCATCCAGATACTTGCCACACCACTGATGTCCACTAGCTCTAGAGCGTCCGGCGCTCCGTCTCCATTCTCCAGGTTTCCATTTCCAGCGTTTTCCTGGCAGACGTCTTACTCCTGACCCCTCAGATGCATGCACCGCACGCTCAGCAGTCACTGGATGTCAGTCACCCATTACACACTTGACCTAGTTAACAGGGCAGTGTGGTACAAAAGTGCCTCCGCTGTTCATCACTGCAGCGCCTAGAGATACGGTGCATCAACTACCGTATATTACCGTCTATAAGCCGACCCCATGGATAAAGACGACCCCCAAACTTGACCCTTAAAATCAGTGTCAAAATCGTATGTTTCGTGCATAAGTTGATCCCCTGCAATTGGGTCCTAATCGCGACAAACAGACCACAGACAACTGGCAGTTACCAATAATTATAACTTTGGTCCACATTATTAAAAAAATTCACAATCATATATATTGCGTCTACTCACGGATCGAAACAAAGTGTAGTTGACAGAAAATGCATAATATATTTTGTTTCTCTAAATATCATATTTATTGTAGCAACAAACTGGCTTGCTTATTTTACCCCATTCAACAATCACGAACTGATTACCGCCTCGTTTTCCATTTACTGCTAGTTTACAGTAACATCGGTAAAAATGTGTGAATTTAAATGGCTTCTGTATTTTACCCCATTTCATGTGCGTACAACTTCTGCTTACCACGTTCATGAGGGTCCGTATAACCTTAGTGTTGATTATATATATTTTACATAAAAACTGTAATTAAAATTACCCAATGCTAGGTTATATTTCTTTGGGTTAAATAATAGTACTCTGTGTTATATTTTACTGACGACTGCGTCAGAATTCGTCCCGTTATTTTATTGTGCATGTTTGAACTTGTTCGCTGCTGATTGCTATTTCCGGCTCAAATACACACGGTTCATCTTTATCTTAATTAATTTATAGAGCAAAAACTGTAATTAAAATTACACAATGCTAGGATATATTGCTTTGGGTTAAATAATAGTATTCTGTATTATATTTTACTGATGACTGCGTCAGAATTCGTCCCGTTATATTATTGTGCATGTTTGAACGTGATCGCCGGGAAACGTGCACAGCTGATTGCTATTTCTGGCTCAGATACACACGGTAATCTTAATCCCTGCAAATAATACAATGCCCAGCAAAAACAACTTAGAACTTAAAAGGTAAATAATCTTGTTGAGTGATGTTTAATTGCAAATTTGACGTCTCTACTGACAAAGTCGTCTTCTGTTGTTTGTTCACGCGAAGTGATACGATGTTGTTTTCTTACCCCTGGCAAAAAGTTTGACGAAAGCGTAACCCATGGATAAGACGACCCCTTTCTACAGACTGCCTTTTTTGGTCCTCAAAATTCGGCTTATAGACGGTAATATACGGTACATCGACTACGAATTCAGAGTTCAGCAGTCGGTGTCAGCGACTCTGTCGCCAACACCTACCTGTTCCAGTATCGTTCCTGACTACAGCAAATATATGATGCATCTACCTGATCCAGCACCAATCCGGTGCCTCCACCAGATCTCAGGGCTATACACGGCTCCTTTACCAGATCCAATGCCTGTATGGTGCCTGTAGAACCATACTTATTCAAAGAGCCTGTACAGCGTTTCTACCAGATCCAGCGTCTATACGGCACCTCTTCCAGATCTCGGGCCTATACGAGAACCAGCTGCAGCCCCTATACAGCTCCTTTACCTTTACGGCGCCTGTACAACCATACTTATTCAAAGCGCCTTTACGGAGTTTCTACCAGATCCATTGCCTGTATGGCACCTATTAAACTATACTCACTCACTCCGTTTCTACCAGTGCAGGGGTGGTGGGGTAGCCTAGTGGTTAAAGCGTTGGCTCGTCACGCCGAAGGCCCGGGTTCGATTCCCCACATGGGCACAATGTGTTAAGCCCATTTCTGGTGTCCCCCGCCGTGATATTGCTGGAATATTGCTAAAAGCGGCTTAAAACTAAACTCAGTCAGTCTACCAGTGCAAGAGCCTGTACGGAGTCTCTACTAGATCCAACGCCTGCAACACCATACACACTCCAGCGCCTTTACAGCGTTTCTACTAGGTCCAGCACCTGTATGACGCCTCCACTATATTCAGTGCCTCTGGTGTTTAACTACTGCGTCAGCGCCTCCTACATCTTAAGGGTTTCTGCAGCTGTTGGTTGCGCCACTTTCTCAGATGGCCTCTACGTCAGCAGACGGACACATCCTTTGTCTTGACTTCATCAATAGGGCAGCCAAGGTGGATGATGGGTGACGTACCTTGATTTGGACCTCAACTTGTCTTCAGCTATTAATACTGTCTCTCAAGACCTGACAGAGGTGGATGGTCCTCACTGACCTTGGCGAACACTTACGGGTAGATCTCGCCAATGCATGTGTTATTTGAGGTCAAGGATTTCTCTCCTCTTTTCCGGTTGGAATTCAAAGTTTCAGTTGAATCTATGTCGCCAACCATATTTAATAACGAGATCAAGGACGTCTTTCGAACAGTGTGCAACTTTACTAAGAGGGAGATAGCATTGACGGCCTTCCAGCAAGGCCACCACCTCTCATCACATGAATACAGTACCTACTAGCCTCAACGCCACAGTTAGGCGGGCATGGAATCAGGCTTTGGTATGTGGTAGGAGACGTGGTGAAATGAACGTAGCTGCGTCCCCTTCAAGGGTGCTGGAAGCAGGGGCACAGGAGCTCCAGATCCACAAGACTGGACACTCCCTCCTCCAGTAGGCCCTTGTATTTTCCAACCACCTATACATTGGTGAATAGTGTGTTTCTGACGTCATTGGTTATTCCTTAGGGGTCCATACGTCACAACATATGGAAACATGGGTAGCGGCTCCTCATAGATATGCCTCTATGCCATGCCTGGTTCCAAGGTTTACCTTTGGCAGGGAGTACGTGCGCTTTTACTTCAACTGCCCCTTGGTTATTCACTCGTATCATAGCGCAACAACAGTGATAATTTGGGAATTTCACGTGGGCTCTCTGCTATGTTGCGTAATTTGCATATGGGCTGCAGCCAGTGTTCACATACGTTTTTATACAAGCTGGGCTGATTAGCTGGGTTGACTTGTCAACCGGGACATGTCAGACCTTGTACCATAACACACTCTGACATACATTGGAAGCCTCTTTCAAGCAGACGAGATCCTCATTCGGATTTCTTTCCACAGCTGGTACAGGTTTTGGACCTTTATCCCACGTGCGCTGTCCGGACCGATGTCCATCCAGGATTGACAAGCGGACGTTCGTCAACGTGACGGTGTCCCGCCTCACTTACATCAGTTTTTCCGTTTAGTGGACTCGCCCATAGAAGTCATAGGTGGAGTCACCTTGATTGAGTGAGTTCCCGAACTACCTACGTTTTCGCCAGCGCCTACATGCAGAATTGAGGCGCCCACTTACTAGATCTGATAATCTCAGGGCTTCGGTCAAGAGATCACTAAGCAGTTTGGAGCTCAAAGCAGTGTTCCTCACCATCCGTCACTGGGCGCAATAGCTCCCAGGCAACATGATTGTCGTTGTTTAACAAGAGTTTGACCAGGTTACTGTTTTCAGATGTTCCCAATGTTTCCTGTAATAGCCAACACCCACATCCGAGACCATATTCCTGGGTGCCGGTACATCCTATCCAACACTATACTAAGCAGCAAAAGAAACATCAGTTTGGAATTTTCCTTCGCAGAAACAGATAAATGTAAACTCATTTAATGTTTTGATTGTATATTTTTGACAACACCTCCAACTTTACCTGAGCAAAGACATTCCTTCCGAAACTCAGAATGGAACCCAGGAAATGGTCTCAAAAAACGCAACCTGTTCTCGGAGATAGTACGGTGTTCTCCATGTTTTCATGCAACTCATGCTGCACGTGCTGCTCAAAGCCCTATAAAATGCACCCCAAAACCTGGTTGAAACATTCACATTACAACGTCAGCAGGATGCCGCGACTCATGACAGCTCAGAGGAACCAGGCGCTAGGAAGACTTGAAGCTGGCCACACTGCGCAAGCCGTTGCCAATCACTTACAGGTCAATGTTCAGACCATTTACAGGCTGATTGACCCCGTACTGGCAGACTAAGGGTGACCACAAGACGACACGACCACCATGTTGTGCGACACCATGTACAGAATCCCTTCATGCAGGCATCCGAAACAGCACGCCAGACAGTGGGAACACACATAAGACCAATCAGTACTGATACAGTATGCCAATTGAACATCATTGGGATGAAATTCAGAGGAAACTGAATAATGTCATGGATGGGCAGTGGATGACTTAAGCCTTTCCTGGGGGAGCTAGAAGCAAAATATGTTTCCTCAGGTCTTGCTTGCCTCTGAGTATTTTATTGGGATTTCATCACTACAAACCAGTTGCCAGGGCAAAATGATCGTCAGTTCTCTATTTTGCCCTTATTATCTGTTGTCGGCGTTGAAGACATTCATATGTTCCTCTTGTGTTCACCTCGTGTACTGTTTGTACATTGAGCGAACCCAAGCTGTCAGAGGCATGTAAGCAAAACCACCAGTGTTTTGTGGATACGGACTACCAATATTCATGTGTATAATGCGGCTGGTTTGGTTTTGCCTCTACTATGGAACTTCATTGTAACTGTACAGTGCCATTGATAATGCAAGAGTGCTTCTAGAAGTCTGACAGTCTCTGCCATTCATTAAGTGTTCACGAATAGCGTCTTACCCTCTGACAAATCCGGCAGATTCGCCAACGGTCAGACAGAAGTCTACAACCCGCCAGCCCCAGTGTCTGACTGTATATTTCACAATGACTTTGACTGAAGTCGTTTTATGTGACATGAGACACTTGTTTGAAATTATTAACAAACATAAGATTTATAAACAGCAATGTCAATTATAAGAAATATTAAATCTGAAATGTGTGTATAATTTTATTCCATGGGTCCTGTGCATTTTCAATGGGTCAGACAGACATCTGAAACTTACAGGACCCAATGTCCTGTGACTTTGAAACACTATTCGTGAACACTGTTCATTATCCACACCACATGATGTGGCCAATGCTTCGGACCACTGGTGCTAGGCTAGCAACTCCCCAATCCCCAAAGGGTATCACTCCTACATTGTTGCTCGCCATGAAGCATGCTGATGTCTGCATGGGGAATGAGTTGTTTTGAGAGAAAACAACTGGGTTCGTCAGTTAAGGAGTAACACTTGCATGAATTCAAGTCACTGCTTTTTACAGATTTCCCTAAAGCTAATCTCGCTTTAAAAATCGTGTTGTCTTTTCCATTTAAGCCTACATGTCTTATATGAGAGATAGTAACTGTCTGTTGTTCTGGTGTCCCCGCCGTGATATTGCTAAAAGCAGCGTAAAACCATACTCACTGTCTGTTGACTATTCTTCCAGGTGCAATGAAGATACCTTCCACCATTTTTCTTCTTCCGGTGACGCACGCCAATGCTGTGTGGGACAGGAATTGTTCCGGGAGAACAACTGGGTATGTCAGTTAAGGAGTAACACTTGGGTTAACTCGAGTCACTGCATTTCCCTAAAGCTAATAAAGCTTTAAAAATCGTGTGGTATATTCCATTTAAGAGCACATGTGTATTACCCCTGCCTGATCGTCACACGCTATCCGCTCTAGGTGCAACAGCGGTTTTCTACCGCTGCGGCGCATTTGATGACATTGACTGAGCTGTCCTGCCTGTCCAATAAAGGTGCAGGAAGTAAGTAGTGCAGGATAAGGGCGCTTTCATGGCATAATTATTGACAAAATATCTGTTTGAATAATGATTTTGGCGGCCATTTTGAAAATGCCACAAGGTAGAATTTGCAGAACTTTGCATATTGCAATGATGTTCTGAAAAAAAAAATCAGCATTCTACTATTTTTTTTCCAGTGTCATGTCTAATGCTCCTGGTCTATCTGTGGAAGTGGTTGACCTTCAACTAAAGTACAGGATTTATGGCAATGATTACAGAGCTGAGACATCAAACATAGATGTGTAAATTGGGCACTAACTCTTTACATGAAAGTAATTCTGTACTTAATATCTTGACTGTTGCGTATTGAAATGAATTTATTGCAAAAACAACAAAAGTCACTAAACAAATTTTCCCATTATATTTCTGAGAATGTCATCATGTTTATCAGGTACACTTGAGACAAGCCAATTGGCGGAACACCGCAACGTACAGATGCCAGACACACAGACAACTCTACACTGTCCACGTTTCTCAATACACTCAGCGTACGTTTACACTCGGATCTAGTCTGACTACATGAACATGAGGCATCCCCACTTCTCAATTCTGTTTGGTAATATCAGACAAAAGGAAAAAGAGATGAAAATAATAATACAAGTCCTACACAGTAATAGGCTGATGAACTACCCATCTTTGACTTACATGCAGAAAACTGCTAAGATGATCACTTATATTATCTAAAATTATGTACATTCATAGAAATGTTATGTTGCTCTAAAACAATTGCACATTCCTCCTAAAAAAAGGTCACTTATAGCAATAATTATCATTTCTGCTCCCAACCTGTATCTACATACATTTACAGTTAAACTTATGTATTTAGTGACCTTTTTTTTTTCTCAACATGCAAAACACAAGATATTTCAAGCAGAGATAATTAAAGCATGAAAACCTGTTACTTTTGGGAGAGGAAATTTGATATTCACCTACTTCAAGAAAAACACATGGTATTAAAAGGGTGACAGGATAATACCGCTTGGCAGAAACAAAATGGAATGAATAAAACTGGAAGAAACGAGTGAAACAAATAACAGAAATAAAATAGTCAAATAAAAGGGAAAAATGTCATCTGTTATAAAACCTTCCCTAGGACTGAACTTGTGCATGAATTTTCGAATGCTGCCATTGTTCCACTTTGATATTGGCTCAGATGAAATGTTTCAGACCCAGCTAACCTGACGAGTATGACAAGTTGGTACAATGAGATTTCTGACATGTCAGATAACTTGCCCCTGATGTGGAAGACATGGCAAGAGGAGCGTTATGTTGGAAGTGTGGAAAGACAGAAATAACCCCCTAAGAAAACTGTCCTGTCAGTTTGGATATTTCAGTTCAGATTTTCCAAAACTGGAAATGATTCATATTGACTCATTGTTTTGTTTCCAAGTAAAATATCACTGGCTAGTATGTGTTTAATTTTTAGCTCACATGAAGCAATTGCTATAAGGTTGATTTAATGAAAATAGAAGAGACATTTCCTTTGAACTGACCCAACTATTTTCAAGACATACAGTAAATATACAAACATGTCACACTTCAGCATAGTTTATATTGCAGTTAGTGTGCATGAAACACCAATCACTTTGAAAGTATATTCCATGTGCTGCATCACTACATACTAACAATCACATTGTTTCAGGTCAACATTCTTGTAGTGTTCACACATCTGGAGATTAATTAACTCTAGTTAATAATGACAAAAACCAGCCTAAGGTCACACTTCTCATCACATTGCTAACACACAGCGATGGTCACACAACAGTTACAGGACTGAATGACATCTGCTGTCACTGGAGTCTCGCCACCAGAGAAAGTGGTAACTTAACCTTCATTTCAGAGTTACATTCTGGATTATTTCTGTTAAATACTTCTTATACAACAGAGTAACAACAGTTTCACATGTTCTAAAATCAAGTAAAACTGGCAGAATAATTAACTTAAGTACACTGTGCCAGATTTTCAAGGTACAATGTTGAATGTTTCTGTTACCATATTTTGCCTTTAAACCCCCCACATAATTGTGAGACCTATCACGACTTACAGCAACACAAAGCTGTGGTGACTGGAAGCGGACCCTCATATAAAAATAGTCATTTTCATCACATTCATAAGAACAAACACCTTAATAAACAATCTAACAAATCATAGTTACAAGACTAAAAACCATTCATAACTAACTGAAAACATTTAAGGGTTCATGTCGTTCACACATGACAAAATACTGGGAGAGATTATATTCTGAATAAGTATATCAGTCAAACAGAACCTCAGTCTTGCCTGTATCATGCAAGTCAGGACAATTTGTATAATTTTTATACCAAAAGGAAGCAATTAAAATTTATAATTCACTGTAACAATAACATTTTGGCATATAAGGACAGATTTTGATTTTCTGTTTTCAGTTCATTCTAAAACATTTCAAGTTGGCATAGTAACTAAACTCAATCAGTGTATTTTAACAGCATCATGATAGCACATATCACAGGATATTTTCAAATAAATAAATAAAATCATCTTTTTCCATACTGGTACGTTAAAAAGCAAGGCATGTTACTAACGTGTGATTGCTACGGAACATTTCATTGGAGAAACCAAACTGCATCTCGATATGCATAGCGTTCATTTATCAAAGCAAAATCAAATGTCAACAATTATAATTGCAAAATGTTCGAAATTGGAGTTGAAAATTGTTTTGGCAATTTAGAAAAATGAGGGTATATATATTCTCTGGTTTAAATGTTGTATCATGAAGAAAAGGTCATCTTCTGTCATTGTTATGTGTAACATGTAACACCATGTTGACCCTAGTACTGGCAGACACGAGGCCACTAATGCCTTGCAACTACAGGATATACATTGGCACCAGCTGCTTCATAACAAATGGCAAGACTCTAAAGCAGACAACACAAGATGCACACTGCATCCATCACAAGCCCCACAGTGATTCAGCCCTGCTGGCTAGTCAGTACAGTCGGTCAGCTGGCTAGTCAGTACAGTCAGTCAGTCGGCTGGCTAGTCACCATGGTCCTTCTGACTCAAGGGTCATCAAATCCGCTCCTGCAACAGTTCCGGGTCTGCAGTACAGTCCTTCATCTGCTTCTGATTCAGGAGTATGTAAACATTTTGTAAATGCAACAGCCTTGTCTGCTATTAGTAACTACAAGACTGCGGAGAGACAAGTGTGACTGGATACAGATCTGTTCAGTGTCTGCATGCAGCACAAGATCCACATTGTAACAAGTCCTGAATCTCAAAACCTGTGGTAATGTTGCAAGGCCTGTCTCCAGATCAAACGGTGATGAACAAGTTGTGATGTCAGAAACATGGAAGTAATATATCACACTCAAGTCATATCAAGGGCATTATTGTTGCCTGTAACACCAGATTTGTGCTACCACAGTGGGAATCAGATCATTGTAGAAACTCAGTCACTCCAGGCTGTTCATAGACTCCACAAACAGAGTCAACACACGGTACATTCCAGTTAGTTGAATACAGGTATCATGATGCACCAGGCGAGGTATGAAGATAAACATGCTTTAGGTAGGATTCTGTAAAAATAATATAGAGGGGCATCACTTCAGCACTTTAGTTGGGGAATCTTGAGCAGAATCAGGTTTGGGAAATTTCCTTGCAACCTCTGGCGATCTCCCTGGCTTCTTCATGACCGACGGTTTAGCCTTGACAGGTGGTTTGGGTTTCTCTGCCACCCGGAGGAGGACCTGGGCTCATACCCACCAATGTAGGAAGATCAGATTTAGCGTCTGTGACAGATTTTGAGCGTATGGCAGGCGAAGTGGACTGAACACGCCGAATTATCCCGCCAGAGTTAAATGTTGATAATGGTGGTGGTGGTGGAAGATCAGAGTTGTTTCCCCTCTCAGAGTCTTCAGATAGATTCAAACGATTTGTGGTTGATATGTTGCGTGGCATCGAACTAGCTTTCTTCAAAGTTCCTTGATTTGACTTAGCAAATGTTTCAGCAGCACTTATTGTGGGACTATCTGGCTCGCTACTCTCTTGGGAAGGTGGCGAGTCAGAGCCCTCGGGGCAGGTCCAATACAAGGTCAGGAGTGTGCTTGGGAGTTTGCTTGGCCTTGACTACAGGCAAACTCATCCTCTTGGCAGACCTTTGTTGCATCTCTAAGGACTTGAGCCCTGCCATAACCTCTTCTAGAGCATTGTCAATATCCACAGATATATCATCTGCTGTTGAATCTGGGGAAGACACCTGTCTCTTGAGCTCCTTTGGTGCATCTCCCCCACCAGAAGGAGAATCTACTTCCTCTACACTAGTTAAACTAGGAACTTTGGATGTAATTACACTTGTTTTAGGGGTGGAGGGCTGTGACACTGTGGAAGTGTCCACATCAATGATGTCAGTCTCTCGCACTATAATGTTAGGCTGTGACACCGATTTCTCGACAGGCTTGTCAATGATGACCGAGGTCTCCTCACTGGACTGTCGGATGGGGGGCTTGGTAGGTAAGGACTGGGTGGAACTAGTCTTGTCACCCTCCTCGCTGCTCAAACTCTTCGGCTCATCAATAGATCTACAAAATACAGGCAGATATATATAGGGTATACAAACTGAAGGTTGCATTTTTAATTTTTAAAAGTTTAACATGAAATGTATTAAGATTGTATCAGGGATGAGATCCCCAGTACATACCCGAGATATATTTATCTGGGATGAGGCCCTCTAGACATACCCGTTTCACAAGAAAGATATATTTATCGGAGATGAGGCCCTCTATACATACCCCAATTTGACAAGAGAGAATTTTTTATCGGGGATGAGGCCCTCTAGACATACCCGTTTGACAAGAGAGACATATTTTTGCGGGATGAGGCCCTCTATGCATAACCCTGTTTGACAAGAGAGATATATTTATCGGGGATGAGGCCCTCTATACATACCCCTGTTTGACAAGAGAGATATATTTATCCGGGATGAGGCCCTCCTGACCGTGACAACATCCCTCCCACCAGTCGTTGGACACCTGACTGTAGATGATAAGCGTGTCTCCCTTCTTGAAGGTCAGCTCCCGGCCAGTGCGACCCTCGAAGTCATACAATGCGGTTGCCTCCAGCAGATCAGGTTCTATGAAGAGAAAGTCTTGGTAAAACAATCTGTTAAATTTTGAAAATATGCTAATCTTTTAAAGATAAATCATAGACATACCTTACTTTCCGTTTCAGTGATAAGAAGCTTTAAAATCAATTTACTTAATATTGAGTTTGAACGACAATATTTTGTCAAATCACTCAACACATTTATATCCCAAAATAATTAAGTATTTGATGAAGTTTGTAGTTAAATTTTCAATTGTTTAAGCTGAACCCTACAAACTGTCCAGTCAGGTTGACACAGACGAAACATTGGTTATTTGTCTATCTATATGGCTACTGCTACTCCAGGCTCGTCATTCCAATCAACCAGGTCAAACACTATAGGGTAAGCTTGACAATCTATGAACCGCCTTCATTAGCTGTATCTGTCCAACACTCAGCTGTACTGCATTGTACATGGTTGATACAAACCGTACATTTCATCCTTTCAAGTATCAAGTTGAGATAAAACTCCACATTAATTGCAGCCATGCATGTTACAAAGCTTCCTGGGGTGAATGATTTAGCGTCAGGTGATCAAGTTAGCAATGAAATGTGAAAAAAAAATAACAAAAACAAAAAAATGCCATGCAAGTGAACGAAAGAAAACAGCTGATTGTTTGCACTATAAATGTCACATCTCCCTCCTTACCGCAAATGGATCCTGAAATATCAAATACCCAATGCAGACAGGGGAAACAGGATATTTTCAGATGAACTGACCTAAGTAGAACAATTCAAATCTATTTCTTGTTCATTACAAAACCTAATACAGATAAATTGAAACCACTGTTTTATGCAAAGCAAAACAAAATTCCTCAAAAACATAATCAGTTTCAAAAGTTTACACATAAATCTAACACAGAACTAAAGTAAAACTGGTGCTGAGCAACTTCTTGAGTGAGATCCTTTTGTTCAATGGCCACCTGACTGGGAGAGGTCTGCTGTGGTTAGCGGACACAGGGTGCCACTATGGACAGGATACTTGTACATATAGGACTGGGAGGGAGTTAAAGTGAGCGTGCTTCATCTCAACTGGTGAGTTCCATAATGCTTCAGGATTGCAGACAGAGAATTCTGTTAAATGAGAGACTGGAGAAAGTGTGAGGCAATTATGATGATGAGTGGCCCTGGAAACTCACCTTCCTCATCACTGGGGATGGAGCTTGTCTCATCATCTTCGCCAGTATCATTGGAGTTGTCCCTGAAACACAACACCGCAAGCTGATCAATGTGAAGGAATTCCACTCACTGTGCTTGAACCTAGCTACGGTAAGACAGTCACTCAATTCTATAGTTGACACGCAATCGGAGTCCCCAGTAACATTCAGTTTTGTACATAATGAAAAGACTAAAAACAAAACAGTGTACACAGTACACAACAATAAACTCTCAAACACCTCCATGTACCCAACAATACATTTCTTACACACTTCACACACCCAAAAATACACTTCTCATATACCTCCACATATCCAAGAATATATTTCACAGTCACCTCCATGTACCTAAGAATGAACTTCAAATACACCTCCATGTACCCAGAATGCACCTCTTTCTTCTGAAGAATATATTTTTCATGCTCATCAACATACCCCAGAATACACTTCTCATACACCTCTCCACCATCATTGGGAAACAGCTCCTCCTGGTGAGTGATGATGGTCTTGATGATATTGTTGACGGAGCCCTGGAAGGAGACCTGGTCACGGTCAGGCGGGATGGGGAGGAGAGTCGGCCCAAAACAGATAGCCAGGTTGTATGGATCCATCATGTTTTCATCACTGTACTCTGATAAGCTGGAATACAATGTGAGATTTATAGCACTGCTACAACCATCATGTAATTTTTAGAGTAAAATTGATATTTTATACTTATCCTGACTCATGCTCTTTTGCTTGTCTTCTTCTTCTTGAGAACATAGTGGAACACTTGTATCTCCTTATTTGAAGCTCCCTTCAAAATAAAATCACTAATTGGTACTCACCACGAGTTGCTCCCCTTTGTCTCCCCTGGCGGGAAAAGGTGTCGCCACCCTCTGGCCATGTGCTCCACTCTCTCCTGATTTAGCGAGCCCAACACTTGAATTTACAGGGAAATCCAAAGTGTTATGTGGGGAGGATGGGAGGGCTAACCTCATGAGTCAGGATAAGTATAAAATATCAATTTTACTCTAAAAATTACATATTTTTCCTTATCCTGACTCATGCTCTTTTGCTTGTAGCATCCTACGGAACGGAGGTGGGTAACAGAATACTTTGGATTTATAATTAGTGATTTTGTATAGATATACTGTAATATCCCCTCACGGAACTTCATGAAGTCTTAGATTTAGGATGTTTCCTGTATAAAGAAAACCATAGGTTATATAAAGCCATTAAGGGGAATTACATTATGAATATATTGAACAATACATATAAATTATATATATATATATATAGGTGACTCTGATAGAGGCACTGAAATTGACTATATCCAAGTATATGCTTAAGGTAGAATACTTAAGCTGAACATATATACATAGCCCTAAAACTCCTTAGAGTTATAAGCTAGATGAGTATGTATAAAATACATATTAATCTTGTAAGGCTAATATTTTAACGCCTCACGAGGGACTGTCAGTTGCTGAGCGAGGACCAGTGGTCGAAATGGTGAATGCCAGAGACATCTTCTGTAGTGATGTCTCTTAGGTAGTGATTAGCAAATACCATGTTAGATTTCCAATAGCATCCTTCCATAATCGTGTTCAAGGAACAGTTACCGTGTAGGGGCGAGGGTAGAGGCCAGTGCCCTGATCTCATGTGGATTAGATGCTGTTGGTGGGTCCAAGCCTGCTGCCTTGTAGGCACGGAGAATGACAGTCCTTATCCAAATAGATATTGTGGTCCGTGACACTTCTGTTTGATTAAGAGGCGATAATGGGATGAATAAACGTTTGAGAAATCTTCTCCTTGTTTTGGATCGTCAGTAAATAAACTTTGAGCTCTTACCGGACACAGTGATAGGTCTTGTGTATCTTGTGATCCGAGAATAGAGGATAGCGCCGGGATGTGGAATAATCTGTCTGGTTGACCTGGCAGTTGATTCTTTGCAATGAAATCCCATCTTAATCCGAGGTGCGCTGTGTTATGATTGTCATCAAACTGTATCCTCTCGTAATCCAGAGCGTGAATTTCAGACATTCTTGCTGCTGTGGCTAGCGATAGCAGAAACAATGTTTTCTGTGAGAGAAATTCAAAGTTTGTCGATTCCAAGGGTTCATAGACCTCACTCGTGAGGTGTTGTAACACTACATTCAGATCCCAAGCTGGGGCGTGGAACTTCCGCTTTTGGTCCTCCAATCGGAAAGCTCGTAGTAAGGCCAGTAACTCTGGAGATCTTGTCAATTTGACACCCGTTCTCATGGTGATTACAGAGCTAAAGCGGCAAGATATGTTGATATCGTTGAACCTTTTAAATGTTTGTTTTGGCGTAGGTAACACAAATAGTCTGCCACTTGAGGTTGTGAAGCCTCTCTTGCTGTAAACCCTTTCTTTGTTGCATAATTTTTGAAACTGTGCCACTTGTCGTCGCATTACAAGTTCACGAAGTTGAGTAACGTAAGGCAAGCGTGACTGCTTTTGCCGCCCTGGCAGAATATCCTCTCTTGTTTAAACACATTTGTATACAGTCCATACGTGTAGTTGGAACATTGCTGGGTTTCCGTGCACTTGTTTGGTGTGAGGATGAATTAACAGGTTTTGCGCGCTGGGTAGCTCCAGTGTTGTTGGTTGACCGATTTCTTGAATTAGTATGGGAAACCACGTTCTGGCCGGCCAGTAGGGCGACCAAAGTGAGTTGTAGGCTCTGTGTTTGTCTGATTTTCTGTAATACTTGAGGTATTATTGCTGGCGGAAACGCGCGACGCATTGAGGCCTTCCCATGATAGACTTAGAGCGTCCGTTGCCCAAGCTTGGGGGTCTGGGACTGGTGACACGAATGTCGGTAGCTGATTGTTGAATCGCGTGGCGAATAGGTCTATTAGCGGCGCTCCTAATTGCTTGATTATCTGTGCAAAAATTTCCCGGTTGATCATCCACTCTGTCGGTGATGGTAGATGAGGCCGAGAGAGAGCGTCTGCTAGTATATTTCTGGCTCGGGAATGTGCACTGCTTTGACATGTAGATTTAGATCTTGTATTAAATCGAACAGTTGAAAGCTTAGGTTCAAAAGGTTCATCGATCTCGTTGAGCCTTGCTTGTTTATGTAGAACGCCACTGTCGAATTGTCTGTATGGATCATTAGGGCGCATTTTGTAGAAATGTGCTCCAATGTAGAATGGCGTTGATTACAGCTTTCATTTCTAGACTGTTTATATGGAGTTTGCATTCTTGCTGATTCCATAACCCTGATATCGTGTGGTTGGTGAGATGAGCTCCCCAACCTTGGAGTGACGCGTCTACATACAGATGGGTTTTGTATTCCTGCTCTGCTAAACAAATCCCTTCGCAGACATTCGATTTCTTGGTCCACCATAGTAGATGTGGTCTGAGATGTTTCGGTAGACTGAATGGTTGTACATCGTTGAGATGTGCGTTGATGAGGACCTGTAGGGGACGTAACTGTAATCTGCCTGTGACAGTCATGTCTTGGGCTGATGTGAGAAGACCTAGTAGGCTCTGCCATTGTCGCAGTGGTAACGGAGAGAGTAGAGCTGGTGGAATGGTCTGTTGTATCTTGAGCCAACGGTCTTCTGGTACCATAATACGGTTGCGATTTGTGATGAATCGAATACCTAGGAACTGTAGGTCTTCTGCGATGGTACTAGGTCCGACTTGCGTAAGTTTACTAACCAACCTAGTTGTGTTAGTAGCTTTATGATGTAGTTTAACTGTAGTTTGAGACGCAGTGGATCTTGATCTACTTGTATCCCCGTCGTCGAGGTAAAACGCACGCGCGTAGCCCTTGACGATGTAGAAATTTGATAATCGGTTTCGTTATCCTCGTGAATAGCCAGGGGGCTGATGATATTCCGAATGGGAGTACTTTCCACTGGTAATGTAGCCCTTCTAGAGTAAATCGTAGGTATTTCCTGGAATCGGGATGAATGGGGATGTGCAAGTAGGCATCCTGTAGATCTATGCTGCCCATGTAGTCCATAGGACGAATCATCTGGCGTAACTGAGGTAAATGTATCATGCGAAACTTCGGTGGTTTGCGTAGATAGTTCTTGTTGAAAAAGCTCATGTTGTAGATGAGTCTGTATTTCTCCGTGGAGTTTTCTTGGGAACTAGGAAAACTGGGGAGTAGAAACCTGGTTCGACGTTTGCTTGATCTATTACTTCTATGGCCTGTTTGGATAGGAGTGATGAGACAGCCTCTTTTATCTTTGGTAGTTGTTGCGCTTGTAAATCGAACTTGGGGGGTTTGATTGTCAGCGGAGGCTTGTCCTGTAGAGGGATACGAAATCCGTGTTGAATAATGTTGGAGACGTAAGGATCTTGCAGTATTCCCCAGTTTTCCCAGTGTAGTTGGAGGCGTCCACCCACTTGAGCTGGTTGTACTGGAACGGCTGGGGGTGGAAGACTCCAGTCGTTCCGAACCTGTGTTTCAGCGTCTATAATTGCGGGAACCTCTGGGTGTCCTGCCTCTTCCTGATCCTCCTCTATAGTTGCCATATGGGCTTGATTTTAAAAGAATCTTTACCTCTAGAGCTGGCTATCTTCCTGTCTCTTGCTCTTTGTAGGCCCGTGAACTTAGATCTGCCTGAGTATCTTTGTGAAGTCTGACGAATGACGCTGGCTAGTGTGTCCATCGATCTAATCATAAGGACTTCCCTGGAATCCTTAGAGACTTCCTTGGCGACCTTGTCGATTTCTCCGTCAAAGATGGATGTTGTCGACCACGGGGCTGTATAAAGTGGGGCTGTAAAGTTCTCCCCCCAATTACAGGAGGCGAGGAGGCCTTGACGACGAGCTAAGGTCAGTGCTGCTGAAACAGATGTAAGATGATCCGTTAAAACTGCTGATCTTTCTTTTGCATAAGTAAGGCAGAATAAATCATTCTATCATCTTCCGTCGTGGAATCCCGGAATCTAGTAATAAGAGTCTCATTGATCGTCCTAGATCTATTTAACCCAAAGAACATACGTCTCGTCATGGTTTCTATATGAGCCAACTTGCGATCATCCATCTTGTAAATCTTGTTCTTTACATCGCTGATGATCTTATAGTTCTCATCGATGTCCTGGGCCTTGTAGAAGGGGTCCATGTTATCGTGGAGAACTTCTTGGCTTGAAAGTTGGGTAGATGTGGTATCTGAACTTTCGTAGCTTTCTGGAAAGCTGCATCTAGATTCTGTGGCACTGTCGCATAATCGGGTTCGATCGGGGTAGAGTGATTGCATCTGGATCATCTTCCTTCATCAAATACGTCTGAGCTGTATTGCCACTTTTAGATGGTGATGTGAGATCTAGGTTATTGACCATCCAATACCGTATCTCTGCATCAGAAAATATGATTCCTCCATCATCCTCAAAACCATCATCATTAATAAATTGTAGATGCTCTTCGGGACTGCGTGTAGCTGTCTGAATATCTGATGAGGTTTGTGGCGATCTAGTTGACTTGTGCGCCGCTCTATGTGGAGATCTGATGGGTGATCGACCTGGTGATGAACGGAGTGGAGATCGTCTATGGGATGATCTTCGGAGACTTGTGAGGTGAATGTTGATAGCTTCGAAGCTCTTCGGCAGTCCCTCGATGTTCTTCTTCTAGACGATGAAGATCTGGAATCATATGTCTTTCGCGAATGCCTTCGCGAAGCTTCATTTGCGTCCGGTCCGGGGGATCGATGATATGACCTTCGCGAAGGCTTCCGTGATGTCTGATGGTCTGAGTCCATATCTAGAGATGAAATCGAAGATGGTGATGATCTCTCCCGCCTCCGCGAAGGCCTTCGCGAAGGCTGTACATCTAGGTCCTTCGTCAAGGTGGTGCGGGACTTCCTTCGCGAAGGTGACATCGTCTTGGCTGCTACGTTGACGGGGGGTGCCTCTGGGGTGCTGTCTACGTTGGAGCCTTCGCGAAGGCTCGGACCCTGCTTGCGCAGTTTGTAGTGGTCCTCCATGATGTTCATAATCTGCCGCATCATGTCTTCTGGGATGATCTGTGACGAAGTCGCCGGCGTCTTTTCTGCGATGGGGTTCACATCAATGGCGTCTGGCGATCGGTGTAGAGGCATCAGGCTGCATGGAGATCTCTGCAGAAGTCACAGTCGCTGACACCGGTCGCTTCTTCTGCCGTGAAGTCGGGGATGATTATCGGCTGATCATCGTGAGAGGCCCAACTCTGCTGCTGGAGCGATCTCGGCTGAGAAAGTTCTTGCTGTCTTCGTAGATTTCCCTTTGGAAGTCTGCGCTGCCCTGGGTGTCCTCAATCTGCGTTGAGACGACGATGAGGCCCTCTTAGACTTAGTCTGCAATGACGGGATGTCTGGGGAGGCGGTCGTTTCTTGAGGTAACGGATCTGCGTCCCCGTTCCTCTGCCGCAGGGGTCTCTAGCAGAACACCAGGCGGAGAGGGTCGATCGCTAGCAGCTGACTGGAAGGAATATCTGGACTCTCTGCCATGTTTTGCCCTTGTTTGCGTGATCTATCTGCAGCACGTCTTAAGGACGCAAAGATGATATTTATTAAATGCAGAATGAGATAAATTAATGCAGTAACTGCAAGCGTGAATTAAACGCGCGGCAGTAGAACAACTAGGGCATATTACATGTGGATCGGAGGCAGAAAAGCGTAATCTACAAATCGTACAGATTTTCATGAGCGTAAAGCTAGCTGAACAATCACGAATACACGTGAATAAACAGTAGAAATACGATAATTAATCAATACAAATAGTAAAGGATACTAGCTATACCTCTATAGTAACCTATGAGAGGTAAAAACTAAGAGATTATCAAAGGATATGTGTGTAAGGAGACACAAGGCGCTCTCACATCCTGCTCACTGGGCGAAGAAGGAGAGAGTGAAGCACATGGCCAGAGGGTGGCGACACCTTTTCCCGCCAGGGGAGACAAAGGGGAGCAACTCGTGGTGAGTACCAATTAGTGATTTTATTTTGAAGGGAGCTTCAAATAAGGAGATACAAGTGTTCCACTATGTTCGCAAGAAGAAGAAGACAAGCAAAAGAGCATGAGTCAGGATAAGGAAAAATATATGTTATCATGTTCAGTTAATTCTAGTGCTTAAGAGTTTTTGCAGAAGAAAAGCGTATGTTTGACTCACTGGTTGAGGAAGGCAAAAAGATATCTCATGACGATGATGATGCATCTTGGGAGTGTACTCAGGAGATCTCGTAGTCTCTCCACACGGCGGCTTGTTTCCTCACCTGCAAATGTCACACATCAAAACAGATGAAATAACCATAATCCATATTTGAAGTGTTCAGATTTCAAAAGTAGCTTCATGTACAACTTACGTGTGCAGGAAACTAGCTCTTCAAACAGGTGCAGTGGGAACAGTGGCTCACGGAGCTCCCTGAAGTACAGTTTGAGGACCCCAGCAACAGAATTGATGTCACTTGAGTCCACGACGTCAATTAGGGGATCTTCACCTAAACAGAGGAAGGATTCCATACAAAACTCCGGTATGTCAGACAAGTTACCAGAACAAACAAACAGATAACTGTAAGCAATCAACACAGTGTAGGAATTCTGTATTCTTTTCTTTCTGTATTTTTTCTCTGTATCATCCATTAAATAGATGGACTGAAAGTCAACATTTCTTGAGTCACCAGATCAGTATCACTACACACCAGCTATGTCCCTTCACAAAGAAAACACATATAGCTTAGTTTCTCCACAAAACTACAGAGACTCTCTGATTATTTCACTTTTCATATTAGTGAGTATGGTTTTATGCCGCTTTTAGCAATATTCCAACAATATCACAGCGGGGGACACCAGAAATGGGCTTCACATTGTATCCATGTGGGGAATCGAACCCGGGTCTTCGGCGTGACGAGCAAACATTTTGACCACTAGGTTACCCCGCTACCCCACTTTTCACATTAAGGGAAAGTGATTTAACAGCTTGTCACCCCTTCCTAGCAGCTTACAAACAGTTAACAGACCTTACCAAACACTGCTGGAAGACTGTAAATCGTGACCAAACATACATACATCACCAGCAAACAAACATCAGCAGTTACACATCTGTACACTGTGAAATGAACGCTCATCAAATGGAAGTCATAACCCTGGGTAAATGTGTGAAGAAATTCATGTGAGTATCCCTACTTTTGAACTAAACAGACTAGTGAGCACATGACACACTTGCATGATGTGAGAATCGTGTTGTATCAGTTCGACGTGTGGTCATCACCACCCTCTCCTTCAAATGAAACTTTCAGGAAATCAGGGCCAGGATGTTCCAATAAATCATATTCAGAGGAGATAGTTTGTGTCAACCACCAATCACTGTAAAGGTACCAACTTTTGTTTCACAAGTTAACCCAATCCCTTCAACTTGGATGAACACAGACATGTACAGGACACCTGTCTCTAAACTAAGTTACCTGTTTCAAAAGAGTTCTTGAACTGATTTATGTCCAGCTGAGCTCCAGACACTCTGAAAATTCCCTGGTGGTGCATACCTGCAATACAAAAAGTATGATTCTATACCCAATAGTCAACCCTTCACATCACAGGGTGCTGTTGTAAGGTGATCATAACTCCCATACCTTAATATAGACTTAAGGTAATCTTAGCGCTAAGGTTGTTTTGTACAACGACACCCAGGTCATCAGTATACTCACAATACAGGTTGACCACTCGTATACAGCTGCTGATGATGCGAGGTATAACGACACCCCGGACATCACTATACTCACCATACAGGTTGACCACTTGTATACAGCTGCGGACATCACTATACTCACCATACAGGTTGACCACTTGTATACAGCTGCGGACATCACTATACTCACCATACAGGTTGACCACTCGTATACAGCTCGCGGACATCACTATACTCACCATACAGGTTGACCACACTGTGATTGCGGACATCACTATACTCACCATACAGGTTGACCACTCGTATACAGCTGCGGACATCACTATACTCACCCTCAACGTTCACCTCACCATACAGGTTGACCACCTTATACAGCTGCGGACATCACTATACTCACCATACAGGTTGACCACTCGTATACAGCTGCGGACATCACTATACTCACCATACAGGTTGACCACTCGTATACAGCTGCGGACATCACTATACTCACCATACAGGTTGACCTCACCATACAGGTTGACCACTTGTATACAGCTGCGGACATCACTATACTCACCATACAGGTTGACCACTCGTATACAGCTGCGGACATCACTATACTCACCATACAGGTTGACCACTCGTATACAGCTGCGGACATCACTATACTCACCATACAGGTTGACCACTCGTATACAGCTGCGGACATCACTATACTCACCATACAGGTTGACCTCACCATACAGGTTGACCACTTGTATACAGCTGCGGACATCACTATACTCACCATACAGGTTGACCACTCGTATACAGCTGCGGACATCACTATACTCACCATACAGGTTGACCACTCGTATACAGCTGCGGACATCACTATACTCACCATACAGGTTGACCTCACCATACAGGTTGACCACTCGTATACAGCTGCGGACATCACTATACTCACCATACAGGTTGACCACTCGTATACAGCTGCGGATGATGCGAGGTATATCCACGTTCAGGGCCTCACAGTACTCCTCCAGACTCCCCCCGAACAGCTTGGGCTGACCAACTGGGGGAGTTCGACCTATTCGCCGTTTCTGAGGTTTGGGTGGAAGAGCAGGTGGTCTGAAATAAACCAATAACCAATCACATTTCTTCTACTGTATTTCGTATTGCAACACTTTGGTACCGCTGATGACTGTGGTCAGATATTTCTTATGTAAGTAAGTCTTTCCCCCTCTCTCCATTGCAAAAGCTTTATGTTTACATGTCATGGTAAAAAATCAACAAATATGACTTTTTGCCAGTCAAGACATGGCATATGTATATATATACAAATCTCTGTCAGTGGAAACTGAAAGATATAATGATATGTGTAAGTGTTCTGTCATGATAGTATATTCTTCAACAATTTCAATATATTTCGTAGCTGATGGTTTGTTTGTTTAAAATCTATGACTTCCTTGGTCTTCTTACCTTGTCACCCCAGAAGACAGATCCTTTTCTCCCAAAGCTTTCTGTATTGCATTGTACTTGGACTGTAGCCGTGCAAGCCGATTGCAGCTTAGTGTATACTCCCGGAATTTCTGACAACAAAACAGCAGACATGTTTCAGGTAAGTCTTCAGAACACATGGATGTGACTTGGTGTGACTGACACAGAGACTTGCTCTTGATCTGTTTTGATTATAGGTAGAGATGCAGCAACATCAGCAACATCAGCACAACACAACTAGACACACTCAACGCCACTTACTGATAAATAGAATGTTTCTGTCTCCTGACGATCATTTCGATATTTAGCATCTTCATGTGGTGACTTTGGTGGAGGGTTCTCTTCTCGGAAGAACCTTGACACATCATAGTCCTTCACTTGTATAAGATCAACAAGTGCTCTTTCAGTTGTCTCCAATGTCTTCCATATCTGGAAAAATATTAAGTTCATGCTTATATGTTCACAATATCATACAGATTCAAACTACCAGAGAATCATCAGGTAGACTGTCACGGACACTCAGACATAAGGGATAATAGTAACTCTCTAATTCATCTCATATGTCTCAACTCAATAGAAGAAACAGTGAGTACACAGATTACTATGCAAGTGTCTGTCAGATACTATTTACTTACTAAGTTGTGTCAAAACTTATCTAATGCAAGAGTTGAACGATCAATGGTATCCAACAGGCACAAGTGCAGTTTTCTGCAATTTCACTGTTTTACCGTAGAACCATCATATATTTAGCATCTTCTCCATGATCTCAACTGCCATTTGTGATGTCATCCATCCTACTGCTTACTACTCATAATGAGCGTGAGGCAAACTTTTCCGAAGTAACTGTGGATTATCATTCCAAAGTTCATAATGAAAACAAAGATCTTAGAACATTAACACTCTAACATTTTGTGGTGTAGTTTGCATAGACTGACCTCATTATTCTCGGCAGTTAGAGATGCAAGCCGCTCCCCAATGCTCTGATGCCGCTGCACCAGGTCGTCTTGGACAGGCTTTTGAGCACTGATCTGACGAACCTGCAATACATCCAGGCAAAATGTACATGTGCAAAATGGAATGTACTTTCTATACAACTTATGACTATAAGTATTTTAAAGTGAGAACTGGATGGAGAAAATACCCTGAACATTCTGTTGTAAACCATTAGAAACAAATTAATAAAGGAAATGATAAATGAAACAAGTGATTTTATTAAAAGTCTGAAAGAAGAATAACAGGTAAACATCTCATAAACCATCAGTACACTGGTATCTGGATGTACTGACAGCACACACACAGCAGTTAGAGAAGCACTCGTAAAATATTCACATTCCTGTCAGTACACTCCATACACTCAGTTGACACACACCACACACATCAGAAGGCTGGAAGGCATTCATGAGCGTCCTGATCTTATAGGGTATAAGGAGTATGGTGGGACATCAGGAGACCATCCCGGTGCCACCGACTCAGCAGGGAGTCGACAGAAGAGTGAAGATAGGGACTGCATGGTGAAGACAGAATCAGATTCTTTGTCTGTATTTTCATGTTTTAATGTGGAGTTACAAAGCATTAGATTTTATTTGTGACTGTGAATGAGACAATAACAGCTCGGCTGTATTTTGGCCCATGGGATGAACATTTATCTGTTGATGATCCATGCTTGAAATATACAATATAGCATACACATTTGTTAGGTAAACAGTGAATTTGTTAGATACTAACACACAGCATACAAAAGCATATTATATTGCTTTCTCAGGAAGGAAAATCTAATACCCTCATATTATACATCAGAACAAAAACATGACCTTGTAATAGGGAACAATTGATATGGTGTCGAAGATATTTTTACGGATTAAACTTTTTTATTTCCCTCACGACGTTTCGGGACCATTATTCTCAACTGTCAGTTCATCTGATGAAAGGACCTGGAATGGTCCCAAAACGTCGTGAGGGAAATAAAATAGAAGTTTAATCCATAAAAATATCTTGGACATCTATGTACAACTTCTAAATGCCACTGAAAGACAAATTGATATGGTGATAAGAAACACCATCAACACAACCTGGAGATATGGGACACCATCTTTATGAACTAGAGACAGAGAACACCATCTAGACGACCTTCTGATATGGAACACCAACTAGACGATCTTGTGATATGGAACACCAACTAGACGATCTTGTGATGTGGAACACCATCTACACGACCTTGTGATATGGAACACTATCTAGACGACCTTGTGATATGGAACACCATCTAGACGACCTTGTGATGTGGAACACCATCTAGACGACCTTGTGATGTGGAACACCATCTAGACGACCTTGTGATAAAGAACACCATCTAGACGACCTTGTGATACAGAACACCATGTAGACGACCTTGTGATACAGAACACCATCTAGACGACCTTGTGATATGGAACACCATCTAGACAACCTTGTGATGTGGAACACCATCTAGACGACCTTGTGATTAAGAACACCATCTAGACGACCCAGTGATTGAGAACCATGTACAAAACCCAGTGATTGAGAACCATGTACAAAACCCAGTGATTGAGAACCATGTACATGACCCAGTGATTGAGAACCATGTACATGACCCAGTGATTGAGAACCATGTACATGACCCAGTGATTGAGAACCATGTACATGACCCAGTGATTGAGAACCATGTACACGACCCAGTGATTGAGAACCATGTACATGATCCAGTGATTGAGAACCATGTACACGACCCAGTGATTGAGAACCATGTACATGACCCAGTGATTGAGAACCATGTACATGACCCAGTGACTGAGAACCATGTACATGACCCAGTGATTGAGAACCATGTACATGATCCAGTGATTGAGAACCATGTACATGACCCAGTGATTGAGAACCATGTACATGATCCAGTGATTGAGAACCATGTACATGACCCAGTGATTGAGAACCATGTACATAACCCAGTGATTGAGAACCATGTACATGACCCAGTGATTGAGAACCATGTACACAACCCAGTGATTGAGAACCATGTACATGACCCAGTGATTGAGAACCATGTACATGACCCAGTGATTGAGAACCATGTACATGACCCAGTGATTGAGAAGCATCTTTACGACCTAGTCATATGGAACAATGCATACAGCACCCAGGACTTAGCTCTCACAATGACATCATATTTGTTGCTTATTAATAGGTTAGGATTTCACACAACTAGATAAACAATTCTGAACTAATTAAAAAAGTATGAGCTGTGATAGACAAGCACACTGTGCCATGTAGTGGCGGTGTAATCCCTGGACTGTTCCTGAGATCACAGCCTTGTCCTTAAGTACTGAAATCTGGTTCTATGTTTCTTTCAACATAATGCAATCTCAGAAAACTAGACCTACATAACAGAACATTTCAATTTGGAATCATATTTACAATTCTAAAATACCTTTGTTTACACTAACTTGGCTTTACTTGCCCACGTAGTGATATGACGTAAGGATACCCTAAAACAGCCTGAACATTCACAAGCCCTCAAGATGTGTGGAACATGAGAGTGATCCCAGCCTGGAGCTGAGCTGCATCCCTTGCTGACCCAAGCAGTGATATGATATAAGGATACCCTAAAACAGCCTGAACATTCACAAGCCCTCAAGATGTGTGGAACATGAGAGTGATCCCAGCCTGGAGCTGAGCTGCTTCCCTTGCTGACCCAAGCAGTGATATGATATAAGGATACCCTAAAACAGCCCGAACATTCACAAGCCCTCAAGATGTGTGGAACATGAGAGTGATCCCAGCCTGGAGCTGAGCTGCTTCCCTGGCGGACTCACCAGGGTTTCACAAATTTATCAAATTTCCAACAAGTGTAAGAAAACTCCCACAAGTGTAAGAAAACAAATACTACTGGAACTACAGAGTAATATCAATACTCTAATATCATTACTGAAGTCATATTAATAATGTAAGTTGCTAAGCATCAAGCTATAAGTTAACAGAAGAAAAACAGACAGCTCTGTTTCATTTATCCTGAAGTTTGACCAGTTGAACATAAAAGGAAGACAAATCAAAAAGATGGAATGTATATTATGGCCATTCCAGCAGATATCTAAAGCTGTAGCTACAAATCTACAAAATAAACAAAACCAACATAATTCCTGTGGACAGGGACAATGAGGACAGAAACAGTTACACTGTAACAGAAACCAAATGTCAAAATCAACAAAAGGGTCATGCAAACAATGACAACACGAGCCGGGAAAGGACAACAGAATTACTCACGGGGATTTGTATTTCTTTCACACCCTGAAGACCAATCAGATTATCTTCAGAATGTCAGATGAGCTAGCATGGGAATTCAACTAGTCACATGACCAGTTCTCAAAGCCAAATTCATGTCTGTTTGTTGTATAGCCAATATATTACAAACATTTTCTCCAAACAGACGTTTTCATCATAGACCACTGGTCACTTACTCCGATCACTCAATTAATTGTGCAGAAAAAGTCATTAGATGATTTACATGCAAAGAAGCAACTTCCAACTATCTATTTAGTAGTTAGGAAAATAGTATATATTAATATAAAAGTAATCTAATCATTGGAACTGCATGTCTAGTGAAGCTGCAGATGAGTGACTAGGATGTCAGTCAATGATGATGATGGATGAGTCCTGATGGGGCCATGGTACCTCATCACAACTTTCAGTCAGCGCATGGCTTTGTGTATAAATCATGAAACAGGTGACTAGTACATAAACAAACGAATGGTTGTTTCATAATTATCAGCATAAAATATATGGCCTAGCAACTAAAATAACTTTGAAAGAAACTGCACTTGAAACTACAAATAGAACGGAACATATATTTCAGTTGAAACCAAGACCAAGGAAGCACAGTACATTTGAGAAAACAAATCATAATTCATCTGCTGTGTGTTTAGCAACAGCGGTTCTCATAGTACAACAGCAAAAGAATACTATCACATTACTGGCACCAACAAAAAGAAGAAAAAAAACAAACTAAAAATCCCAAAAACGTTTATTCAATATGTCCTTTTTCAAAATTTCCCCCAAATTAAGACAATTCCTTTTCATAATTCTGTTGGTATCTTTCATATTTTTTGGACAGAAATTCTTGGTTTCCTACCAGACTTACTGGTGAAGTGAACAACACACCAGAAGACCTGATACTATTGACCCAACACCTATCTTTGTAAGTCTATGTCTCCAAAAGATAAAGGAAACATCAGGAACTTCTATTGCATACACTAGATGGCTCACATGGATGGCTTTCTTAGACTGTGACTTCATCAGTCATGTTTCTTGAAGAAGGTTCACTCATAATGCACTAACCTCATCTCCCTTGAAGGGCTGGAACTCAAATTTCTTTGGCAGCATAAACATTTGATTGTTCAGCTCCATGAACTTCTGCTTATCTGCCCTTGAGTCAAGGTCGGAGATGTTCTTGTTGATGGACTCAATGGCTGACTGGTGCGTCTGCTTCAGTTGTTCATGTACTGAGAGGTACATCATCATTGTTCGCCCCACAGAGTTATGGTAGCCAAAGTCCATACACTGAAAAAAGGAAGAATTGTCTCAGACCACTGCAAACAAACACCTATCATAGAAGTATGATTACGTTTGGAGCAACTAGTGAGCAGTGGCTACTGCTTTGAACATGCCAGAGTACATGCTGAATTATCTTGCCTCACACTGAGCGCGCTTCTATTCTTGTCAATGTACCCCCGCTAACAAGCGAGTAACATTTTCTGAGTACCCTGCTGGGAATGCTGAACTCATTTGGTACTTCGTAGTAGTAATTCTTTATCTCGAATAACACTGAATCACGTATGATGTAGGGAAATCACCGATGTTTTGTGAATGCAAATTGATGGAAGGGAGATAACCCTAAATTTGTTTTTCTTGTCGTCTGGTACTCCATACTATGATCAGATACCCGTGCTTCAAACAGTTCCAAATTACCATTGGGGTGTTCGGATAGATAAATACGTTGTTCACTGGTCCCTCGGGGCCCATGGGTTGATGTACCCTTGATGTTTCTTTATGTTCCCTGAGCTCGAGGGTACATCAGCCCATGTCCCCCTCAGGACCAGTGAACAGCTTATATTGTCATAACATCGCTTTTTCATATTATGGGCCACACTTAACAAAGATCCACTTGACCTATATCGTCTGTGGACCCCAGCACACAACATCGTCAACATCCCACATTGGAGTATTGTTGTAGCTGCCTGTGGTATCTCAAATACTGCTAAACGGTTCCTGATATTTTTGACAAAAAATTATCTGTGACTAAAGAAGTATCCATGACAACATGACTCAGTAGACACTGGTTTTCTTGCAGAGTAAGCCAAAACAACCCGTTGCAACTATTTAGGGTGTACATGTTGTACAAACACATGCATAAGATCAAGTTCAGAATGACTGAAATGAAAAAGTTGGCTTGCAGTCGGTTTGACTATAATGAGTCATTTCGTTTACATGTTTTTACAAGTGGCTGAGTTGAATATACATTCAAAAGAGTTTACTTTGTAATCAGAAGCATCTTGTGAAAAATAGTAAGATTCTGGAGTGCCATGTTCTACAACACTATACATCTGCTAGCACCTACGTTGCAAGGTGAATAAGTCATCAAAAACATCTAATATTCTTCAGCTTCACACATATATTTCATTGAACAAAGAGAAGGAATCAATTTGTCTGCTATCACGAAACTTAGATTTAGATATTACTTAACATTTTCCTGCTACAACTTCAACACAAAACTATGAGAAACACCTTGCACAGACAATGTGTATCACATCCAATATGTTCTATATCATGAAATACAAAACACTCAGTACAATATGTTTCTGTTGTGGATATTCTCCTGCACCGAGTGTGGTTAACATGATCTCAGTTTGGGTTAAATTTGGCCCCAGTTTTCAGAAAAAGCTGCTGTGAAGATGTCTCACATTACACCGCTCAAAGCTGCAAAGGAGAAGCACAGACCTTGCTCAGAGTTTTACCTACAAATTTAGGGCCATCTGCAAATACAATGTCCAAAAGTATTTCAAAGATGTCAGAAAAAAACTATAATGACTGCAATTTTCTTAGAGGCATCTAAACATTCAACTAAAGTTTTTACAAACTGCATTGGAGGAAAGGGGCATGAGTGTTAAAGACTTGATTTCCAAGACAGCCTATCAGCAAAGGTGTGATCTCCACATAAGTAAGTTAAGCAAAAGAAACACTCTCACACTCTGGTTTCCTTTTTTTTCCTTTATCCAGATAAGTTTAACCCTTGAGGTAGTGCATGACCTGTTCTATCTCCTCACTGTCACCCTGGCACTGTGTTGGGGAGGGGCAGATATACAGAGGCTATCAGACAAGTTTTTAGATGGTATATCTCATGTATTAGGGATAAACAGTGATTGTATTTAGGGAGACTTGGTGTTTACTATTCATACAGTTACCATCAGAAACACACAAGTATGATAACCTCCCCATCATATAAAATATCTCTCACAAATGATATGTTCACATTGTTTGACAGGCAATGCTCATAAGCTGACACCTTAGACAAAAGGTTTATAGATGCCAACTTCTTTATAAATCGTAATAGTGACGTTATACCACGGTATGGCAGAACTTCTCCAAAGCTGCCTCCACTTGTAGAAGGTCTCAGCTTTACCCCAGTTAGACATGTATCTATATCATAGACATTTATGTTGGGTATCATTACAATTATCCCAGTCATTTCAGTCATTGGTGGTCAGTTCAGAATATTGTTTGTGTACAGTTAAAGTAGTACATGCCTGATCTGTTGTATTTGTATTTAATGACTCCAAAGGATTCCCTTTTCATTCACTCAAGTACTGCTACCGAGAAATAATCCACTTCTGCGAGAGTAGACATGAAGTTTTTTCAACTGTGTACATTGTGTGACAGATGCCAATATCTCTGACTGCAAATACAGGGGAACAAACTCCTGAAGTATGTTCTCTGTACAATGCATTTGTTCACTGAAAGTGGGTGAGTGATCTGTTTTCCTACTTACGTCCATCAAATCGGAGATGTCATCAGAGAAGTACTTGGTGATGGCAGAGTTGGCTCCCTCGATACAAAGGAGGTAGTCATTCCGGGCTTTCAGGGACTTCAACTTGTTCTCAGAGTATTTAGACTGGCGCTGAAAAATTAAATCTTGTACCTTAATTTGTAATTCTTTTAACTTCAACAAAACATCAATATACCCCTGTATACTGGGTGCACATGCACCCATATGCAAACCACATGACCCACACAGAACATGAATATACCATCATTGGGACCTACCATGAACAATACCAGGACTTCACTATAACCAGGGCTCTGACACTGCTAACATTCGTGTTTTATTTTATGCATATTTGTGTTTTAAACATATCCAAACTTGGAAACACAGAAAATCAAAGAGTTTTTCAATGAATCCTTTTTAATTACTCATAACATTTAACTTTCTACAATTACTTTAATCAGTTCAGGACCCTGATCATTTGTCAAAGAATTGGTCTACCATATGGAATACAGCCATTATGACTTGCACCTTCATGACTTATTCATGGAGAGACATTTTCCTTTTCTATGTTCTGCTGTAGGTCTACATATACAAACAGGAAATAATGCAAAGAATGTTTGACAAAGGTTTCCTTATTTGATTCACAATTTATAATGAGATCAATTTGATAAATAAATGATCATTCTCTTGTTTTGGCTGTGCCATGTTGTTTAGCTAGCAACCAGAGCCATGGACAGGGGGCAAATAATGCTTTCCTAACAGCTGCATGTACATCTAATGTGCAACCCTTTGGACCTGAGTCACCCAGCATATATCTGAATGTATTTCCCTGTAACTGTCAGGGAGATGTTTAACAGCTACTTCCATCTAAAAGGCTATCAAAGTCTCCGATTACTGGAACTGGGTGAGGCCGTTAGTTGCTTCAAAAGTATCACAACATCTAACAAAATCCCTTGGAAGGATCTCCACAGAAAGATGATCCAATGATGATTCCCATCAGTTGAAACTAGACAACAGCAAAACCTTGTGAGATGAAGGCTGGTTTCTTCATAATTACGGAGTTCTATTAAAATAAAGTAAATAATAATAGTAGGTTGAAGCATATTTTCATTATGAAGTGCACACATAGGCAAGTTTCAGTTTGAATATTGTAATTCAGTTGGAGAAATTATTCCGATTTCTTTATGATATTCATGTATTCTATTTATCAAAATGCAGTCTGGAAATGAAACTGTGCTACAGGCTGTACAACTGATGACAAGCCACTTATGAAGTTTCCAGTTGGTGAAAAAACCTTTCTCTCATTACTTCAGCCATTACAGATAACACTGTTACAGACCATATCAACTGATGCCAGCTGTAAGAAACAGTTAAAAACCTACAGAAAACGTATTTTACTGTCCAGAAGGAGAACGCGATGCATTGGCAATCAACTCCCCCCCACCAGCGGTGGTCCGATCAATTGAAACAATCAAAGGTTGGTCGCAGTGACCAAACCACCAATCAATCAATCAATCAATCAAATTTTCTCTCAAATTATTTTGGAACTACATAACTTAGAACTTGTCAGGGCCTGAAAACCTGTTTGATTCTTAGAAAACTCATTTTACTAACTGAAAAGTCATGACTGAATATTTCTTGAAGAAATTCTTCAAAGGCATTTAGAAGTTGGTGTAGTAATACAAGACAATGTTATGGATAACAACTTCTTGATGTATTTTTCACAACATTTCTGGGCTAGTTGTTGCCCCTTCTTCAGGTGGATAAAGGTGATAGTGAACAGTACAAGTATTTCTTGAAGACTCCAGGAAGTTTATGATCATGATATATTTGTCATCAGGTTAAAGCAGTAAGTTGCATCAATTTACATGGGATGTGAAATTTGCAAATGCAGTTTGCTCAATTTCTAAATACAACAAAAAAACATCAGAGAACTACGTTATACTTATCTGTAAGAACAACCTGAACAGGAAAATCTGTAAAATGACGCTAACCAATTTTTTCGATGATTGCTCGTTGGTAATGAACCAATTATCAACTGTAAGATTTCCACCAATTTATAACTCTACACTCCAGCTGACATGTTTCCTCTGAGTTTAAAGGTCACATGCAACCAAAAAATCAAACATAATTAAAACACAATTATCACTTCTTCATGACATATAATATGCATTGCTGATTATGAAAAAACAAATAAACAAAATTATAAGCGTATAATCGCAAATCAAAAGTGCAATATTGTGTACTTGGGTTTACCTCCCTCGAAACAAAGCAGCCGGGATACCGAACCCAGTCAGAGCGGGTGGGTGTGCACTCAAGTGTAACGGCTGGTTCATTAGCAGATGCCGCCTTCACGGCTGGCTCATGGTGTGTGTGTAGAGATGTTGGGTTTTGTAAATACATGCTCATTTTTGTGTATAACATTTTGCAATCAACAGACATCATAACATGTCATGTGTTCAAGTATCACACCTGCCTGTCTGTGTAATTACATAATGTGACAGAGACCGAACTCGGGCCATAAATCAATGCGTTTTGTTTATGGTGTATAGCCTGATTGGTGTTAAGTTCAAATTGCATGTGGTCAGTGATCGCGCAGTTGTGTATTGAATATTGTCATTAGCAGACAGGCAGGCAGACACACAGGTGTCAATAAAACAAGACATTGAGTTTTGTCTGTGACAACGACATATCTATATCACAGTTAGAAATTGTGTCAACGCTTAAATAATGACATTGCTTTTAAGTATCGAACTGAGAAAGTGACGCGGTAAGAAGAACGTGTGGTGAAATAGACAATTGAAATTATATAAACAGTTTATTTACTGTCATAACATATAAAAAGCTAGCACCTGTGAGATATCAACAAAACATTAGAAAAATAGCTCACACCAAAGCCTTCACCGAGTATTCACCCGACAACCCGCTTCCAAGCTGCGCGAACCTATTTACTTGCGCACGTGCTATGAGCGCAGCCCAGCTGTTGAAACCCGTATTCCCCAGAAAAGTCTGGGGAAAATTAGTGAAACGTTTGAACTCCGATTTCGCGCGTTTTTTTTCATTGCGTTATTTTTCAACTTTATAAGTTGAATTTGCATTTTTGACGATTTGTTTCGCTATGTCCATACCGAAAGGTATCAGAATCTGCAAAGTTGTGTTTTACGTTGCATGTGACCTTTAAGAAAGTGGCGACTACATCACTAATTCCCATCCATATGAGGGTCAGCTGTGACTGGTCAGTGAGGTTCACACTGAACTGACCCTCATACAGCCTCAGCTGGATTTGTATACTGGGAAAGGAAGTCTCTAATGTTGACATAAATTTGCATGCAGTTTCATGGACATTTATTCTTGTTCATAGTCACATCTATCCAGGAAATCCATTGATCTCATGTGTGGTGGTGACAATCGTCAACCTGCATCTCCTCCGACACTGACAAGATCTTACGTGTACTGACTGAAGTCAGTGAATCCCTATGATCAGCATGGCCATTCCTCACTGATGGACTAGGCATGAACTCATGGTATCACATGTTTCTCAGTTAGGACAATGGGTATCTCTGTTCCAAGGATTTACTGGATGCTAACTCATAGGTGAAATAAAAGTGGCCGCCAAAAACATACAGAAAGCATCCATTCAAAAGGATGGTTGGTTGGTTGGTTGGATGGATGGATAATTATGCACTCATGTTCAGGAACGAATGCTCTTATTTCATGAATTAACACCACTTAATAGTAATTACTGTTCACAATCATTGAACTAATGCAATACAGAATAGAAATGTTTGTGCTACATTTGTGGAATTGTTTCAGTATGAGAACTCCATATCTATTTATAATTAACAGCCTCTGAGCCTTTGTAAACATTTCTCCAGGAATCTCATTTTCCTAGTGTCCCCAGTACCCCAAAATATAACATAACAAGAAGACAAAGTCATCAATGTCCCCTGCAATGGCAAAATACTCTTCATGAATATGTCTACAAGTTATGATTATGTCAAATGTTTTGGTGTGTATATAGAAAAGTGGAAGGACTGTATTGAAAGGTTTTAAAAGTTCTGCTCCGGAAAGGAGCACTACCACCAGTTTCAGTCTAAGTCAAACTTGTTGGCATGGAAATGCAAAGATATTTTATTCACAAATCCAAAACTACCAAAAGGCACCAGTACACCACCAGACCAATCTATGTGCCAAGTTTAGTGAAGAAATAGTGAACGGTTTTAGAGTTCTGCTCTGGAAAAGAGCACTACCACCAATTTCAGTCTAAGTCAAACTTGTGGCCATGGAAACGCCAAAAATATTTATTCAGAATTCCAAAACTACCAAAAGGCATCAGTACACCACCAGATGTATGTATGTGCCAAGTTTGGTGAAGAAATATTGAACGAGTTCTGCTCCGGAAAAGACAAATGTGCACGGACACACGGACGCACGCACGCACAGACGGAGTCCATTTTAATACCCCCTGCAAAACGCGTTGCGGGGGATAATAAAATAAGCTAAATCACTACAGTTCCATTCATTTTTTAAAACTACCACTGTACTAATATTGTGTATTATTCATGTATAGACAATACTTCAGGGTGACCTCTGTTTTGGAGGTCAACGATTGTAAACACACGATTCTAATGTGTGCTAGCTGACAGGGGGAGGAGACAGTTTTATGAGGGGCATTACGATATTTATCACATCCATACACCATCAATCTTCATTTATGTCATGTTTAAGTTCAGGATACTGAAGTTAGAATGACCAGACAGAACTGAGAGATCATTTAATTATTATATATGCAAAGTTGAACACATTAACAAACCCTGATATCCGTACACTATGGACTTGCAGGAATAAACCTAATTCCTGACTATTTACCATAATAACTGTTATCTTTATTTATCTCATCCCAAACTAACGACTGGTGATATTACCTTCTCTGCTTGTCGCTCCAGGCCCTTCAGCTTGCGACTAGTTGTATTCTTGCCCGACAGCTGCTGTTCAACCTTCATTTTCTGTGACTCCACACTTCTCAGTTTAGATTCAGCCTGCTTGCTCTCGGATTGGTAGATGTGGTATGTTTTCATTGCCTAAAATGGACCAAAAAACTATGCTTTACAACAGAAATGTTTGTTAATCTGTGGTGTCATCATGTTCACTCTGTAAGCAGGAGGAGTATGAATAAGCATCTTTAGGACTCAAGTTTAATTAAAAACCTAATAATTGCTCACGAAAACCAGTGACGCAAACTCACACATACCCATGGATAACATTCATTAATCTCAATACATAAATAAGTATTTATCTGCTGTTTCTGACAGTAATATAAACCTTACATGAAAAATAACACTTTATTTGCCAACACTAGCAGTGAAACTGAAAAAGCTAACAAATCTACAAAACCATTCATTTCTATGACTAACCCAATGTCACAGTTTCCCTGTGTCAGCAGAAATTGAGTGCTGTGCATCGTATTGATCCAGCTGGCAATATGGCCGTGATGGCCATTCACAGAACACAGCCTGCCCCATGTACACTTGGACAAGATTCCTTTGGTAGACAACCTTTTCAGCAAAATATCTTCACAAACACATATCTAACAGTGAATACTCCTGGAAGTCATTGGACTGGATGCCATTTTAAGGGTGAACTATTAAGATATTTTCAATTAACGTCAAAAGATTTGTCACACAGGAGAGGATGATTCCCAGACTGCTTTAATCTGGACTGAACTGGTGTTCACCCATTCACACATTTGCAAATAATTGATCCAAGACAAATGACTGACTGAACACACCATGTACAGCAAACATATGTTTACAAAGTGTATGAAGTGCATTTTAAATATAAACATCATATATACACATTTCAAATACCATCCCAATATTTAATTAGTACAATGACATTTTCATCCATGACAATGCCAACCAAGACAATGTCACCACTACAATGCATATCCAAGACAATGTCACCACTACAATGCCATCCAAGACAATGTCACCACTACAATGCCATCCAAGACAATGTCACCACTACAATGCCATCCAAGACAATGTCACCACTACAATGCATATCCAAGACAATGTCACCACTACAATACCATCCAAGACAATGTCACCACTACAATGCCATCCAAGACAATGTCACCACTACAATGCCATCCAAGACAATGTCACCACTACAATGCCATCCAAGACAATGTCACCACTACAATGCCAACCAAGAATGCCATCCAAGACAATGTCACCACTACACTACAATGTCACCCACTACAATGCATCCAAGACAATGTCACCACTACAATGCCATCCAAGACAATGTCACCACTACAATGCCATCCAAGACAATGTCACCCACTACAATGCCATCCAAGACAATGTCACCACTACAATGCCATGACAGACAATGTCACCACTACAATGCCATCCAAGACAATGTCACCCACTACAATGCCATCCAAGACAATGTCACCCACTACAATGCCATCCAAGACAATGTCACCCACTACAATGCCATCCAAGACAATGTCACCACTACAATGCCATCCAAGACAATGTCACCACTACAATGCCATCCAAGACAATGTCACCACTACAATGCCATCCAAGACAATGTCACCACTACAATGCCATCCAAGACAATGTCATCACTACAATGCCATCCAAAACAATGTCACCCACTACAATGCCATCCAAGACAATGTCACCCACTACAATGCCATGACAGACAATGTCACCACTACAATGCCATGACAGACAATGTCACCCACTACAATACCATCCAAGACAATGTCACCACTACAATGCCATCCAAGACAATGTCACCCACTACAATACCATCCAAGACAATGTCACCACTACAATGCCATCCAAGACAATGTCACCACTACAATACCATCCAAGACAATGTCACCCACTACAATACCATCCAAGACAATGCCATGACAGACAATGTCACCCACTACAATACCATCCAAGACAATGTCACCACTACAATACCATCCAAGACAATGTCACCACTACAATGCCATCCAAGACAATGTCACCACTACAATACCATCCAAGACAATGTCACCACTACAATGCCATCCAAGACAATGTCACCACTACAATGCCATCCAAGACAATGTCACCACTACAATACCATCCAAGACAATGTCACCACTACAATGCCATCCAAGACAATGTCACCACTACAATGCCATCCAAGACAATGTCACCCACTACAATACCATCCAAGACAATGCCATGACAGACAATGTCACCCACTACAATACCATCCAAGACAATGTCACCACTACAATACCATCCAAGACAATGTCACCACTACAATACCATCCAAGACAATGTCACCACTACAATGCCATCCAAGACAATGTCACCCACTACAATGCCAACCAAGACAATGTCACCACTACAATACCATCCAAGACAATGTCACCACTACAATGCCATGACAGACAATGTCACCACTACAATGCCATCCAAGACAATGTCACCACTACAATGCCATCCAAGACAATGTCACCACTACAATGCCCTGACAGACAATGTCACCACTACAATGCCATCCAAGACAATGTCACCACTACAATGCCATCCAAGACAATGTCACCACTACAATGCCATCCGAGAATTTCCATCATTAATAAGTGCCAAACCTATGATCATGACACTCCTTGCTGAGGGTCAAGAGACATTTTGATCGAGTTAAGCTCAATTTACTCACAGAATATCAAAGAAAGAAATGCTGTCATCTGGCAGTGTCTTTTACAACTAGCATCCTGAGGACGGATGTATTTACCAGCTCAAAGGCCTTTTTTTAACACGAATGTATGAGAGGCTGACATTTCTTCAGCTCCATCTTGCCTGCATTCAGCTGATTTCTTTTAGCAACACAGCTGTAAAATCACACACATTGATAAAAGTATTCCAATAAAACAACCAACATAGACGACAAGAAGAAGTATTTTTATCCCGGAGTGGTTTCTTGTAAAGATGGCTGCTGGTAGAATGTGCATGACCTTCGTGCTATCGCAGGGGCACAGTGGGTAGAATGATATATGAAGTATATTTGAGTTTAGACTTTGTGGAACATAAACGATGGCTCATTGATTTCCATTCGTGATTTTCTATCATCAGATGACACAGACTCAGCAATAATCACTCTCAAAGTGTGCTTGTTTGGATTGTTTAAAATATTGATTCTTCCCCAAATAGAAGCATCTCATCTCTACACTGCAAGGCTTGATTCTTGTGAATGCTGTATCAATCCTAATTTAAACATTGCCATCTCATTTGTTCATGACAACAGGAAAGGGAGTGGGCTGAAAACCTGCCATTTTCTCTTCCATTACAACCCTACTCGAGTTGTTTACACCAACCTCCAACACTGACCTCCTACACCAACCTCCTACACAAGGATCATACCTGCACATTAAACAACACATGATCTCAAGTCACTGATTAACTTCAACCAAGGCTCTAGGAAGTGTACAAATACAAGCCACATAAATCATAAAGCATTAATCCTTATTACCATTCGTAATTGACTGCATGAACAGGGAACACTGTTTACAAATCATAAACAATTCCATCAGCAACGAATCCTGTTTACATGAATTCCATTCACCAATCATATACTACTAAAGCAAAAAGGTATCCATCAACAAAAACCTCAGCTCTGTCCAGGATCCAATGAGTCAGACTTCTGCTTGCAACCAGCCTACAATTGACATCGAATAATTTGAAAAAATGAGCTTATTGGTAAAAAATCATCTTCAGAGTGTCCAACTACCTGTTGTGTGAGATATGTGTGTGAGATACATGAGAGTGTCTGCTGTCCATACTTACACTCTGTAGTTCATTGAGCACTTTGAGCATGTCTTCATGTGATTCAGACCCGATTTCCCGACACTGCAACAGAAACATCCATCTTAGACATAATAACAAGCAACCAAACCAACAACCAGGGTTCTGTATTTAAAAATCATGGCATACCATTGTACAAATTACTGAAGTCAACAAAGTTGACAAAGTTACAGCAACGTGTGGTGACAGTTTCTAAAATCCTGGAAGCATTTCTGGTTATGTGTATATTAGTTCTTCAGATATTTTCAGGGCAGACATGTTGCTTCACCTGAGATTAGTTTCAATAATGAACCAATTACTCAACTGTCATTCTCCAAATTGCCAGCATTAATTTTGACAGCAAGCAGATGAATCAATACTGATCAAGGATGTAATTATCTACCACACTGACCAACCAGCCAACAAGCTGACCCACGGCTAGCAACATGATCAGACAGGACCATCTGCACTCCACCAACCTTCAGTGATTATATGTAAAACTTCAGGGTGGCAGAGTGTGAAAACATTAAAAGGGTGACTGCCATGGGATTTTGATTCAGGCCACCTCATTGCATGGTTGGTAATTATAACTTGATAAGAAAAGTGTGTTTGTGTGTCACATCTATTGTTTAAGGAGTCAAAAAAATTATGGTCGAAAGAATTTCAAAAACACATTTCCCAATAACAGTAACATGAGAAAAAGACAGGAAATACCTCTATTTTTGAAACCATGAATTTATATCATGTGTAGAGATTCATTTGATGATAGGTATCATTAGAAAGTTCTCTACAGCAATAATACTACAGTAAATTCAGCTGCATCTGCTGCACATACACTCCCTGGATCTTGGGTACAGTGAAAATATGTGCTCACCTTCTTGAATATCCTCTGTGAATTTTCGATGGTTTCGTTCAGCCTGTTCATGACGGTGTTGCTGTACAGCTCACTGATAGTGTTGTGGTCCTGGCTCTCCTTGCGAGTGATGCCCAACAAATGCTTCCAACATGCAAATGTTGAAAATGTAGCCCACTGTTCTTGACGACTAAAGAAATAAGAAAGTTATATAAGTTACTTTGGTGATTTCAAAAGTGAGTGCACACAACTGTGTATATATACACCCTATCCCCAACCAGTAGATCTCTGTGTTATATACACCCTATCCCCCAACCAGTAGATCTGTGTTATATACACCCTATCCCCCAACCAGTAGATCTCTGTGTTATATACACCCTATCTCCCAACAAGTAGATCTCTGTGTTATATACACCCTATCCCCTAACCAGTAGATCTGTGTTATATACACCCTATCCCCCAACCAGTAGATCTCTGTGTTATATACACCCTATCTCCCAACCAGTAGATCTCTGTGTTATATACACCCTATCTCCCAACCAGTAGATCTGTGTTATATACACCCTATCCCCCAACCAGTAGATCTCTGTGTTATATACACCCTATCTCCCAACCAGTAGATCTCTGTGTTATATACACCCTATCTCCCAACCAGTAGATCTGTGTTATATACACCCTATCTCTCAACCAGTAGATCTGTGTTATATACACCCTATCCCCCAACCAGTAGATCTCTGTGTTATATACACCCTATCTCTCAACCAGTAGATCTGTGTTATATACACCCTATCTCTCAACCAGTAGATCTGTGTTATATACACCCTATCTCCCAACCAGTAGATCTGTGTTATATACACCCTATCTCCCAACCAGTAGATCTGTGTTATATACACCCTATCTCCCAACCAGTAGATCTCTGTGTTATATACACCCTATCTCCCAACCAGTAGATCTGTGTTATATACACCCTATCTCCCAACCAGTAGATCTGTGTTATATACACCCTATCTCCCAACCAGTAGATCTGTGTTATATACACCCTATCCCCCAACCAGTAGATCTGTGTTATATACACCCTATCTCCCAACCAGTAGATCTCTGTGTTATATACACCCTATCTCCCAACCAGTAGATCTGTGTTATATACACCCTATCCCCCAACCAGTAGATCTCTGTGTTATATACACCCTATCTCCCAACCAGTAGATCTGTGTTATATACACCCTATCCCCCCAACCAGTAGATCTCTGTGTTATAAACACCCTATCCCCCAACCAGTAGATCTGTGTTATATACACCCTATCTCCCAACCACCAGTAGATCTCTGTGTTATATACACCCTATCCCCCAACCAGTAGATCTGTGTTATATACACCCTATCTCTCAACCAGTAGATCTGTGTTATATACACCCTATCTCCCAACCACCAGTAGATCTCTGTGTTATATACACCCTATCCCCCAAATTAGTAGACCTCTGTGTTATATACACCCTATCTCCCAACCAGTAAATCTCTGCGTTATATACACCCTATCCCCCAACCAGTTGATATCTGTGTTATATACACCCTATCCCCCAACCAGTAAATCTCTGAGGCAGTGTTGTAAGGAGAACAGTACATTTCTTTGACTGGATGACTGAGGCAGCGTTGTAAAGAAAACAGTACATTACTTTGACTGGATGAGGCAGTGTTGTAAGGGGAACAGTACATTACTTTGACTGGATGACGGAGGCAGTGTTGCAAGTAAAACAGTACGTTACTTTGACTGGATGAGGCAGTGTTGTAAGGAAACAGTACATTACTTTGACTGGATGACGGAGGCAGTGTTGTAAGGAGAACAGTACATTACTTTGACTGGATGACTGAGGTAGCGTTGTAAGGAAAACAGTACATTACTTTGACTGGATGAGGCAGTGTTATAAGGGGAACAGTACATTACTTTGACTGGATGACCGAGGCAGTGTTGTAAGGGGAACAGTACATTACTTTGACTGGATGACCGAGGCAGTGTTGTAAGGGGAACAGTACATTACTTTGACTGGATGACCGAGGCAGTGTTGTAAGGCGAACACTTTATTACTTTGCCAGTAACGTAAGTGGAATAGTAGTAAATCTGCCTGGGTTGTCTGTCTCATCATCAGGGAACCTCTATCTCACACGGTACATGGGAAACAGGATCTGTGGAGGTCTTTAAACTATTAACTTAGAAGTCTGCAATCTACAAGCAGTATCAGGTCATTTCCGGCAGCCAGGGGATTGTGAAAAAACATGGGAGTAAGAGTTCCACCAAACATTTATCTGTGACTGTGGGGATCTTATCATGAGTTGCCGCTGCTGCAATGGAGGAAAATGATAGGTTGAATATCTTCTAAGCCCTGCACCTTATGTGTGGACACTCTGATGAACATACAACATGCATACTCATCCTGAAAGTCAATCCCTTCATCTCACCACTGGATATTGTGCATCCCCATGGAGATGTATCCCATGTCCAGCCTCCTTAACATTAGTTCTGTCACCCTAAACATGGGGGCCTTACACGCCAAACACTTATCTCTCCCCTCACCTCCCCCCAGCCTCCTAACATTAGTCCTGTCACCCTAAACATGGGGGCCTTACACACCCAACACTTATCTCTCCCTCCCCCTCCCCCCCAGCCTCTAGGATTCAGCACATACTTTTTCAAAATCTTGCTTCACATCAAGCGGATTTATGTTCAGATAGTTCACAGCATTGATGATACAAAGTTCAAGCTAAATATGTACAGGTCAGTTAAGTCAAACAAAGTTCACCAGCAACAAATTAAGACATATGAGAAGCAACTGACCACCACTAGAGGCGAGTTTCAGCTGGGTTGCTGTGTCTGAGTAGGACAATATTCCTCCACCAGTGTTAATCTAAATTTCTTTGAACATCTAAGTTTGGATTCCTCTGCTATATGAGTTTGTCCCATCTTAAAGGCGTTGCTGCAATCATGTGACCTTCAAAGACGGAATATATCTGCAATGAAGCTATTCACCTCAAACCTATTTCACACATGTGTGTAAAATCATGTAAAATGAAGGACTTAGGTCAGTGTCTATAAACTTACACTTACAACTTATCAGCACAGGTACCAAGTATACAGATATGTACCCAGGTCGTTTCATATTCCGCAATCCAAAACCGAAACTGTATGTAGTTCTTCCCGTGCAACAGATGGTCAACAGAGTGGTATTGTGCATCACATAATAGTCATTACTGTGTATGCAATACTATGCATCTAATACAACAGTATGGTCAAGAAAATGGCACAATGAGGAATGGCCTCATCCTAGGGTAATTTTCTGTATTCTAATTTTGGCTAAGGTACGTTTCTGTATACAAAATTGTACCTGAGGTACACATCCGTACTACCCGTTCTGACAATGACCCCTTCAGCCAAACTTACAGGCCAGTTTCCTCATTAACATTGCCTACAACAACAGTACATTCAAATCTCTGATTTGACCAGTCTGTGTTATAGTTCTCAGTAATTCACATTTCTAGTACACAGCATTTCCAACATCACAATCATTGAAAAAACGTAAATCAACATTTGAGCAAATTCATCTAAGTTGGGAAGGCTTGTGTGACGAGAGCTGCATCTCTTGTCTATGCTGATGAAGCTGGGGTCCAACTGAAAGTGTCCCAGCCACCAGCTCCCCAGTGTGACAGGTGAGAACATGATAAGATTAGCCTGGGATACCTCACACCACTGCTTCTCAATGAGATTTTACACTCATTACCCCTACCACAGGGACAATCTCTCTAATGCCACCACTCTCCACTTCACTGACTTTGTAATGTTCCCATTTAACACTTGGTCAGTCAACCTTGGGATGGTCAGATTAGCATCTGTACATCTCTGGTACAAAGTCAAAGTAATTGATACCACATGAAATCTCACCTACAAAGTATTTTAACATGTGATATGAACACAACACAACAGACTTAGTGGATAAAGTTTTCTATGAATTTGGCTTTCAACATTCTCAAAGTGCACTAGGGTTTTTTTTCAGAAGAGAGATTTCAACATGTTTACAATCTTACTTCATCAGAACTTCACTACTTCATCCGTACTTCACATACAAAACAATACAACAACTGGACATTTAAGAAACACAACCACTAGTGTGATGATGTAAACATTCCCATTTCTGCTGCTGGGGTACACAGTTGCCCGCCTGGTTCAGTATTGGGCCCTTCAGATAATGTATAACGTGTGTCTTCTGGAGAGATTTCATCAACAGCTCAGCTACATCTGTCCCAGATTCTACAACCCTTATACCATAACAAATCTGGCACTATCATCATAAGAAATATGATATCAAAAGCTGAATCAGACAAATATACAATAAAGGCAAACAATACGACACTAGTACCACTACATACTCGCAGGTCAGTGTAAATGTTCACTGCAATCCTGACACCACCAGTCTACAAGACTGAAACGCTGGGAAATGCTGGGAAAACCGGTGTTCGACTTACACTCAGTCTAAATGTTTCCAAAGTGGCCAACAGTTAGAAGTGGGTACAGCAACATTCCAGCAACAGTTGGGGCAACACAAATCATCACATAGTTACCTTGGTGTATAATTATTAAAAATTACTAATTTCTATTATATCATAGCCTTGAATTCCTGTTTCAGTTGTCAATCACATCATTACGACTTTCCACAGATATCAACTTCACTGCCAACATGTCTGATAGTTGTGAGGAAAGCCCCATGCTTTGCACGAAATGCAACTGTTCATGCTTCTTTGAAACCTTAACCCACAGCAACTCATACATTGAGGAGGTTGAGGAGGTTGAGGGAATGACTAATTCCTCATGTAATTGAGGACGTGTCCTGTGAAGTCAACGTAATGACAACTACTTTTGGACCATTTGAATTGCCCACCTGTCCCATCATAGCCAGTATACACCAGTGGGACTCCTGGCATCTAGTATCCCAAGATAGCTGGATGCAAAACTTGGGATAGATATCTACAAATATACATTCAAGGTAAGAAAACAGAAGCATATCGCTGATATTAGTTCTAGATCTTCTAGTTACCAGGTAGGTCAGTTTATGATGTCACTTCCCTTCTGATGATGTCAGTTTGGTGCCTATCGTGGCCTGATGTATAATCTCTAGTTTGTTTCTGAATCTAAAATGATGTCACTCCAAGTTCTGAAGTCAATAACATTATGAATACTTAATGCCTTTCAGAAAGTGGTCAAAGGCAGCAAGTGTATAGTTGGGATTACATTTTCTCAGTAAAGTACAAAATCTAATACTGTTGAATCACATTCATGAATCTACCCAGTCTCTCAGAGTGAGGAACCAGACTGCCAGCAGAAAGCCTGTGATCTCTGATTCCAGTGTCCGTCAGTCAGGTTCAGACTAGGGCTCAGGGTGGACAACATTCCCTGAGTTCTTGGTACTTCTGGAATCTTCAACCTGACTCCTTACTTCCCAATGCGAGATTGTCCTCTGTGTGACTATCACATGGGCTACCACATCAGATCCCAGGGAACATTGTCTTTCCAGATCTCACAAATCAGTTTGAAAGGCACACATACAGAAGTTAGAGAGCTTATTGTGGAGTATCGATGGACTGAAAACAAACTTGTGGCTACAACTCTGATTTCATGATCTCCACAGTTTCCCCATGCTGGTGTAGCAATCTGTGCTTGACAATGGCTGCCTATTATGGTGGTCTTCAGCCATTCTTCCACAGATGCCTTGGTAGAAACTTGCATGATATATATTTTGATCTTCATGCTTTATTTGGGTGGGGAAATATAATATCTCACATGGTAGTTTCCACAGGAGTTGGTGTAATGTCATCTAACTCTAGCTCTCTGGCTGCTTTTCTAGAATACGTGTAGTCTGCAACCGTTGTTCATGAGACAGGCCAGGTCTACAGGATTTGGGGAAAATATGCGATCTTGAGAATCTCTACATGGGCAAAACACTCCTGTAAAGGCACCTCTGCCTCTGCTGTAGCTTGGTATAGCTGATCTTGGGATGTACTCATGTCTCTCTGGGCTGGGGCACCAAAGTGCTCATGCCCTGAAGACATATATGTCTTTACTTGGGAGGATTTCCCTGAACCTGAGAAGGGGCCTAACATTTCTGTGTCCAAGAAGAATCGAGGTCTGTGAAACAAGTGAGGCTGACAACATTTTGAGATTCTCCCTAAGTTTCTCTACCTCAGCCTCTGCCACACTGCATTAAAGGTCTGCTGAACCCTGGAGCTCAATCCAGTAGAATTCTGGAACTTTTGATTAGTGGACAAGGCAATCACTTCCATGACATGTAGTCCTCCATTGTGAACCTGTGGAGCTGTAATGACTGCCTACTTCAGCAGTTTCAGGATTTCCTGACGCATCTGCTGTATATGCTGAACTATCTCCATGAATTTCATGAAGAAATTAACAATCTAGTTGTAACATCAATGGTGTGTTCTTTACTTGTCTTTAATACATCGTGTTTTTTCAGGCCCACTGTGACACTGTAGATAATTCACTTGTAGATGTTATGGACACGACATTCCACTCCCTTTTCTGTTGCTTTACGGCACCACATACTTGATGTGTAAGGACACATTGTATGTACCTCGCCAGTGGCGTAGATGTAACACATCTATATCTTGCAACATAACTGTAAATGCACACCAAACGTTTGCAGGTCAGTCTGCTCTGATTCAGAATTACATAATAATTTACAAACGAGAATAATCCAGTCATGTGATATGCAAATTGGCCTGCCGTGAGACGACATTCAAGAAATTCAGCTGATAAATTCTCACCAATGAAAAGTTTTGCTTTGATATTTGCCATATTCCATTAGAGCTCACAGCATTCTGAATGCCAGTCAATCATGCACATTCTAAGAACTTTCTTATTTATAGCACCAGAATTTCCGTGTTTTACATTGACATTTGCCATACACGTTGCCTGCACTGCTGTCAAGCTCGATGGAGACTGTCCTGCATTTCCTCAAGAGCATAGGTTTTTTTCACAAAAACTGTTAGATATGCTGGTAGTGAAGAAGTTGACTTTTATAAGTTTTAAAGATATCATCATGTTATAGACAGACCCCAAAATGAATATCAGGTTATGATGTAATACAGATAGGGTATTTTGTGACTTTTGCGCTTCATGTACTGCACCCACGTCGGAGAAATGAACCTGCGCCTTCAGTGTGATAAGTTAATGGTTTGTACATTGACCATGGCAAACTATACTGTAAATCAGACATCCATTACCTTTCTTGGAATAGACCCTGTATCTACCACTTTAATTTGCATCAAGTATGAATGTTAATGATCAATTAATAGGGAGAAAAAGTATGGTTTTGTGCCTTCATCAAGTAATCAATATGTTTGAAAGGCTTTAAAGGAACTTCCCCATTTATGCCATCACACTAAGCTGTTGTCATTCTTACACTGAATCACTCTAAAAAAGCATTGTACAAACAGTAACATCCCTTAGTAGCGGATTGCTCATCTATGACATATGTGAGACTTGCACATATACTTACTTTTGTTTCTCAGCTCGATGTCGTGTAATCATCTGACGCACAAGTTTATCCAGGTTCTTCGAATATTCCATTTCCACCTCCGCCCGTCGCTTGAAGAACTCCTGTAGTTCTGCGACAATGGCAACCTGAATCTCTAGCTTGTTCTCGAGACATTTCAATTGGTCACCAAGCTGGGCACGTATATCTGAAACAAAAAAGCAATTTTTACCAACACTGCACCAAATTCAAAAAGGTCCTCATGGCAATACCAGCCCATGTCAACAATGGCAACAAGAAGATAACAATAACGCCACACAACAATTCAAACCCCTTCAGTCAATGAGCTGATGTTTATGTGTTCAGCATCAACACTAACACAACCACAACCATTCTGACACATACCACTAAGACAACAAGGGGGGTTGTAATGTAGGAAGTAAGTCAGTGGTGATGCAGGTCTCTTGTTTAACACTTTGGTGAAACCCTGGAGCACGGATATCCAGCTGACAAGCCGAGGTCTGAACCTACAGCCATAGATTTCAGGTGTCCCCAGGGGACATAACTCTCCACATCAAATTGTTGTGTTTTAGATAACTAGCCCCTCCCCACTCCCTGCTCCCCTCCCACACAAAGATGGACAGAACTGTTAGTGTTGATAAGCATCACTTCATTCACACTGTGTTCAATTATCATCTGATTTACAAACCCACCAATGACAAAGGATCAAAGAAGGGGAGATAATTAAATGTTGTCTGTGTGTTATATAGCCGTGATATATTGTGACCAGACACCACAGAGGACAGACATTAAACACATGTGTAAAAATTCACAAGCCATGTGCACCAGCACCAGCATGTTATCTCCGCCAGCTCTTTGTTTGACACAACACAAATGGGTTTATAGTGCCCAAGCCCTTGGAAAAAAACAATGGCTTCATAATGAGTTTCCTTCTACTATTGCAAAGGGTTCTTTCCTTACAGACAAATAAAAACCTGGACAGGACGATTGTGTGATACGATGGGCGAAGATATCCCCAACAGTGAATCATTGCATGGTACACAAATATGGTTGTACTTCTAACTCACAGTTTCTCTTGGTTGGACAAAATAAACTGAATGCCAGTTCTATTCATAACTAATTCATGAACTAACAATTCGGGTAAATCTGCATCTGTAAGTCATACAACAGCAACATAATTTAAACGCCAAGTGAATCGGCAAAAAGGATTCTGTAAACTGGCCACTGCCCTGAAGTAAATGTGTCGCTGGTATTGAATTAGACAATAAATACGGTGAAATGTTTTACATTTAGTAACTAGACTTACAAAAGTAGTCAAAGAGCACAATAATTAAATGGACAAACATTATAAATTACAGTCAAATTTAATATGTGGTTGCTTATCTATGTTAAAATTTGGAAATCTCAACCCGATACAATTTATTTAAATAAATTCTATGCATTTACATCAACAGAAAGAGCATGTTCCCATGTAGGCCAGTGTGAATTACAATCAACTGCATCTACTGAGAAAGAACAGTGTCCCCTGTTGATGGAGGTGTAAGCTGCTGCTGCAGCTGTGCTTGGTCTTCACTAAAGAGGTACATAAACATCATTACCACTCAGTCGGGGGAAATTTGTCTCAAGATGAGATTGTGACTAGGCATACTCGCCAATCAATATTTACTAACAAAGGTACTCCAGCGATCTCCATTCAGGGGAGCCGATGAGACCAGGGGCATGCTGGGATATATTCAGAATGAGGTTGATCCTTCGCACAGCTGTAGCCCACATGTACAGTCACATGTGTGATACCAACATGCAGGAAAACAAATATCCTATCCAAACCAAAGGGAATAAGTATGTTAGGGCAGTTCCTCCATCAAAGACATCAGGGAATTCAAATACGCTGGAATTTCTGATGTTCCAACATAAAGGCTTAAATTCCAGTTGATACTAGAAGATATCTGAAGCTATTGTCCAGTATCAAATGCCCCCAAGACAGGAGGAGCCTGATTGTCAGGGATTCCACCAACGCTAGTCATCCCAAGTCTGATATGGTTCGGAGTGGCAACCTCATGGCTCTTCCACCAACATTCAAACTCTCACGTTCATGGAGATGAATTATAGAACTGCAGTAATTTCCTGAAGTAGATTCCGGTCAACATCTGTCAAAATAAGCCAAGATGAAAACCAGATACACCATATGTTCATATTTTCATATCAAACTCATTTAGTAAAGACTTGAGCAACTTGCTGAACCATAAAGAATATTTCTGAACATTTCTGAAAAATAGTTTGAATTCATACGAGTTATCCTATCCCTCTTGATTACACGACAGTGGCTATCAAAGCATTAATTTTACCAGACAAATTTGTATCCAGCACTTTGACAATCCTATTCCTTAACTATTTTTGATTGCTTGTGGTATTGGGCAGCTGACACTAAAGGCTGGAATGCACCCCTCTATTATGCTGACAAGAAATTCAAATTGCCTAATGCTGACTAATGCCTGTGGAACCATATAATCGATGTTACTAAAAGCTGACCGATTTCTGGAACCGATGCATGCTAATAAGAACTGAGGGGCGAGCAGGCTGCTCTCCAGCCCACGTGAAGATCAGGAATACTGCGCCTGAATCCTGCTCCAGAGCTGAGTACATGTCAGGGGGAGGTACAAGTTGAGATTAATTCTATTTCTGAACTATGTTGTCAGACATAAATGATTAAAGTCCTTGTAATGGATATAACTATTCTTATACCATAACATTTGCAGCACTACAAGACATATCATTAAACAGATCAATGCCACCCTACAGATTACAGAATATCTTTACAGACATAGATAAGACTCTGTTTGATGATATAAAATAGTTTCAAGTGAGGACCTGTAAAATCCTCAAACATTTCCTTATCTGGGATTGATAGAAACCCATTAAACTACACGAATCAATGGTTGACAGATGAAGAGTACTAACAGTCTGTGAAACTTGAGCCAGTCTATGGTGGACTAAAATGGGATGCAAAGTATCAGGGCAATCCTGAGTAACTATTACTGATGCACATCATCTGTAAGTCAGAACATCAGAAGGCAGTAACTGGTCTTTCATCAAGTCACTGGGTCTATCAGTTACCATAGATACATAGCTGTACAAAATGTCCCAGAATAGCATAAACAAATTCACTAAATTGATGCTCTCCTGCACTATGGTGACAAAATGAGACAGCAATCATCTCACCATATTGCCACAATGTGACAGCAATAACCTCACTATACTGCCACAATGAGACAGCAATCATCTCACCATACTGCCACAATGTGACAGCAATAACTCTCCCCTCTTTGAGAACACCCTTACAATACTGGTGCTCCTGTCCAAAGATCCCTTCAATATTTTACCATTAAGATAATTAAAATACAATAAATGTTATATGCATCATGCAATATCCACCAACTGGAAACAAACATGAAATGAATTATTTGCAACAAATGGACAATAAAATATAATTGATCTCTTAACCCAGATTCCCATGGCCAGAACTGCATTTAAAAAGAAATGGTTCGAGAAATTAGTTCTTAATTATTTATGGTTTCAAAGACTTGTCTTGTGCTACAATTGATCTCAGACCACACACAAAATGTTTCATGACCTATATGGTGGTCAGACATTCATTTGTCTTCATACAATGAAACTTTAACTGTTAAAAATCAGATACAGGATACATTGCCACAAATAACCGATTCCTACACCAGTTCCCCTCACATGAACCATTGAAACAGAGCATGGAGTACACAGTAATAAAGTGATGATACATTGTTTGTTTTGCATCAATCTTGTGTAGATACATGTTCAGCAACTGCACCTAGCCACCTGACACACATCGCTGATCATTTATTGATCTGTCACAGGGAAGCAGCCACATAACATTATGTGAACTGCAACAGAGGTCGATAGTGGTTGCCACCCTTACAGACAATGACTGGAACCTACAACAAGCATGACATGTGACTTTCCAGCTGATTGATGTTGAGGTGTTCAACAGTTGAGACATACTGACACAGGAAAGTAGCAAGTGACTTCTTTATACAACATTTATACCCCAACCCCCTTCCTTCTAACCCTCACACCATGTCCTACCCCTATCCTTCTACCCCTCACACCATGTCCTACCCCTATCCTTCTACCCCTCACACCATCTCCTACCCCTATCCTTCTACTCCTCAGACCATGTAGTACCTCTTATCTTTCTACCCCTCACACCATCTCCTACCCCTATCCTTCTACCCCTCACACCATGTAGTACCTCTTATCCTTCTACCCCTTCCACCATCTCCTACCCCTATCCTTCTACCCCTCACACCATGTCATACCCCTATCCTTCTATCTCTCACACCATCTCCCACCCTTATCCTTCTACCCTCACACCATCTCCCACCCCTATCCTTCTACCCCCTCACACCATCTCCCACCCCTATCCTTCCACCCCTCAGACCATCCTTCACCCTTATCCTTCACCCTTCCACCATCTCCCACCCCTATCCTTCACCCCTCACACCATCTCCCACCCCTATCCTTCATCCCTCACACCATCTCCTACCTCTTATCCTTCTACCCCTCACACCATCTCCTACCCCTATCCTTCTACCCCTCACACCATCTCCTACCCCTATTCTTCTATCCCTCACACCATCTCCTACTCCTATCCTTCTACCCCTCACACCATCTCCTATATTTCTATCCCTCACACCATCTCCTACTTCTATCCTTCTACCCCTCACACCATCTCCTACTTCTATCCTTCTACCCATCACACCATCTCCTACCCCTATCCTTCTATCCCTCACACCATCTCCTACTTCTATCCTTCTACCCCTCACACCATCTCCTACCCCTATCCTTCTACCCCTCACACCATCTCCTACCCCTATTCTTCTATCCCTCACACCATCTCCTACTCCTATCCTTCTACCCCTCACACCATCTCCTATATTTCTATCCCTCACACCATCTCCTACTTCTATCCTTCTACCCCTCACACCATCTCCTACTTCTATCCTTCTACCCATCACACCATCTCCTACCCTATCCTTCTATCCCTCACACCATCTCCCACTCCTATCCTTCTACCCCCACACACCATCTCCTATATTTCTATCCCTCACACCATCTCCTACTTCTATCCTTCTATCCCTCACACCATCTCCC